TCCACTTTTCCTAAAAGTGTGAATATCCCTCAAATGAATTTGAACAAAGATCTTTGAAAATAAGTTTGAGGCCGATCGGATGGTAAACAAAAAAGTTACATACAAACATATTTCGCGATTTTTCCACACTTGCGGGTGGAATTTCCCGAAACCCCGTCTTAACGTGCACCTACATCACATAAGGTTACTACAGTGAAAATTTCAGCTTCCTAGCTCTTACAGTTTGGGCTGTGCGTTGATCACCAATCAGTCAATCAGTCAGTCAGTCAGTCAGGACAAACAGTTTTATATATAGAGATACATATACATGTATATTCTTATATATATATATAATATATATATATACGTATAACCAATGACAACACACACATACGTAGGTGGCTGCCTGCTGGCCTGCCTGTCTCTCTATCTATCTTTCTTTCTCTATCATAGACAATACACACATACAAACACCATGCTTTGGCGCTAACCAATGACAACACAAACATACATGCATACATACATACAACTCAATATCTATTCGACAAGTGGCCTGTCTTAATTTCTGTCTGTCTATGTGCGTGCCTGTCTATGTGTCTATTCTACTAATATACTACTCATACTTATATTCAAAACGAACAGAAACAGAATACATTAAAGTATCTTTAGACATACAGCGAGGCAATGACAATTAATAATCTAATTAATCTACAATTGGTACGTCTGAATTTCTATCTGTTTGTTTGTTAAAATTCTACATACAAAATATATATAATTATCTGTCCCAATCTATTAATTTTCAAACAAGCCTTTCCGTCTGCTTGTTTAAGGTTTGTCTCAAAGATATTTATGAATTTACATATATGTATGTATAATAAATACCTACGTCTTATCCTTTTTATACCCTGAACCAATTGAAAATGGGTAAAGAGGGTATAATGTGTTTGTGCAAATGTATGTAACAGGTCGAAGGAAGCATCTCTGACCCCATAAAGTATATATATTCTTGATCAGCATCAATAGCCGAGTCGATCTAGCCATGTCCGTCTGTCTGTCCGTCCGTCTGCCGTCCATATGTATGAACGCAAGAATCTCAGAACCTATAAGAGCTAGAGTCTTGAAATTTTAGCTGTAGGTCCTCCAATTGCCCGCGCAGATCGAGTTTGTTTTTGATATTCGATAACTTGCCCCGTTTCCAAGTAATCGATAAAAATCGATATCGAAATCCTGTTTTTTGAGCAATTTCGGTAAATAATAAGAGCTAGAGTCACCAAACTTGACATGTAGCTTCTAGAACAGTATATATATATCAAGTATTTTTCATTTTCTTTTCTATCGCCACCTCCCTGCGACTACCACAAAGCCATAAATCAAGTTAATAGTCCAACTTGTATTGCCCATCAATTTAATCCACAATTTATATGCAATTGACTTTTTGAGAATACACAAATATTCTATGGCACAATAAGATGTACTGACGAAAATTTCATTAAGATCGGTTAAGAAACACAAAAGTAATGTAGCAGCAGCTAGCGCAAATTCCAAGAACTTCTGTATGCATGTACACACACACATTCATCTTTGAATTCTACCAATAGAATTGTAATTGCGATTGCTATGCTGCTTTTTTAATTGGTTTTCCTCTCAGTGAAACTCAATTAATGGTGTGGCTGTTGGATAGAGGCGGCGGCAAGTAGTGCTGTTTGTAGCGAGTTCGAACCCTATCGAGGAAACTATTTTTTTTTGCCTGGTGTGGCTGTTGAGTAGAGGCGGCATCAAGTAATGCGGTCAGTTGCGATTTCGAACCCTGCCAAGGAAACTTTTTTTTTTATGAATTTATTTTTCCTGCTACTAAAGCAAACGAGCGCGTAGCCCGAGCTGCATTTGGTATTGCATTCAGGGTATCCCCTAGTCGGGAGCTCCCGACTAGAACCCCTTACTTGTTTTGTCTATATTCAAGCCTGTTTTGTATTACGCTTTGTCCCAAAAATATTAATTTATTTTTTTTTTCAGTTTCATTTTTTATTTATAATCTATCTTGCGATAATATGTCAATCATATGGTATAAATATTTGCTTGAGGTTTATGTGTGTGTTGGCAATGGTATTGGCTCACGACTCTTTGGGTGGCCTTAAAGTCAGGTGAAGCGGGTGGTATCCTTTATGCTTTAGGCTTATTCGATTTACTTCTTCGGTGACGGATGGGATGTTGCGGTCCTTGTGGACTACATTGTTTTGCACATAATAGGGTGCCCTAACCAGCATGTGCAGTGTTTTGTTTAAAAATCTTTGCAGGAATGTTGGAAGTTGAGACCGTGCCCCACAGCTGAATCCCGTATGTCCAGAAGGCTTCAGAATGACCTTGTATAGAAGCACTTTATTTCTATAGCTTAGCTGCGATCTGTACCCAAGGAGCCATTTCATCTTCTTTTGGCTTTTATGTGGGTTGACCACGTAAATCTCCTGTCTAGGGTTAGGCTGAGATACTTTACTATGTTTTCTGTTGGCAGCATGTTGCCGTTTAGGTTAACAGAAGGGCAGGTGAACGATATGTGTGTGGACTTGGTTTTATTGACCACAATATTCCATCTTTGGAGTCATGGTTCGAGGCTTGACAGCTGAGCTTGCAGGATGACGGAGGTTTCAGCATGATCCTTTGACTACAAAGCAGGTCGTCTCTGTCGATAGCAGGAAGGTCCGCTGTGTACAGGGTGTATGATGTGTACAAGCATTGATTTGGCATATTTCGGATTCGGCCCATTCGCTTCTCACGTAGAACGTCCTCCTATAAAGATATGACCTTAGCGTCAAATAAAACAAGGCTGGAAGCAGGATTTTCAGCTTGTGCACCAAACGTTGACTGACACACTCAGTCAAAAGCCTGCTTTAAATCGAGGAAGGCCGCTTAACAGTATTTTGTAGAAAGCCGTGTGGAAGGCAAGGACACGTGGGGGAAGGAGCTTGATAGTGGTTGCATCGGCCGTATCGGCAAGTCCATTTAAAAGGTGCAAGGTGCATTTAAAAATAGCTGTGTGCCTGTTCCATCCAAAGCAGAACATATGTTGAAGGGTGTGAAAATTCTCTCCAGATGAAGTGCAAAAGTCTGTGCTCTCTCCTTGTTGGAACCACACCAGGAGCCAGATGCGTTGAGATGGTTGCAATCCTCTTAGTAGGTCTCTTTAGGTATCTGGTGGCTTTGCACAGGTTGTGTTCTAGTCCATTAGTCTCAGCTTTACGGAGATAGTCATTAATATACATGCATTACAAATACATATAAGTTGTATTCTTTTCGGTTTGTCTACTAAAGCTTCTTCCGAAAGAGATAAATATATAAATAAATATATATAAATGTATATAAATATTTATACACGCACATATATTAATATATATATATATATATATAAATATATATTTATATATGTACATACCAAACAGATAAAGTTGTCTTGTATATTATATTTGTGTCTGTCCAAGTCTTTTTGTCTGTCTGTCTAGGTTTGTACGCAAATATATAAATATAAATAAGAACATATATATATATACAGTTGAACTAATGCCAATATAAACACTAAGATGACTAACGCCATAAAATAAAATAAAGATTGATTTTTTTGAAAATTGACAACAAATACGAAATCAGTATCATTGCGCTCTCACAACTGAAAGAGCGAAAAAGCAAAAAATAGAATGTACTCTCAGCTTCGGCTCGATGAGGGCCGTGCAATCAATTATGTTTGTGTGTGTGTTTATATACACACATAACAGCGTATTTGAATGTGTTGTCACTGCTCTGGCTTTTGTTGTTAAAGAAATAAATTTTGTTAGTTTTCTAGCGCTGACCACACATATGAATGCATGTTGTGTACTGAGGTTAGCTAGGTAGAAAATTTGTATTTTTAAGTCGATGCAAAAATTTATAAAATTTCTTTGTGTGTTTGTATTGTCTTTGGTTGAACTCTGTAGACATATATTGATAAAATATTTATATACTATACAATAACCAAAACACAAAGCTTGATGACCTCGTTCTGACAATGGTATGAGAGAAAATATATAGAAAATTTCAATCCTCTATCTTTTTAGGTTCCGAGTTCGACGCGTTTATATAGACGGCTCAGCTCATCGCTCAACCTACTACTATCCGAACTGCTGCTTGGGTTGCAAACGTATTTATTATTTGTTGGACCATTTTAATGAGCCGCAAATGCGGCATCTTTATTTGTAATAAAATTTTCTTGTTACTTACTAGTAGCCGCAAATTAAGGGTTATCCCACACAACAAATGCAGCCAGGCTCTCTTAAAAGCAGAAGTAGTGGCAACCTGAACGGACTGAGCTGTTGTCTTCGTTTAAGCAGCGGCAACTACATCCACACCTATTAAGCAAAAATTTAGTTTTTCAACGCTGGTTCAAAACAACTATGGACGAACTCACCTGTGCATATTAAAATGCTACGCAAGAGGTCGCTCCAAATCCAGCTACTGCCTAAGTAGCAGCAACCATACCATTAAAACACAAAATCAAATTATTGTAGCCTATAACGTATTTGCACAAGCCTACGTACGCACCCAAGTGCTACTAATACAAATGTCTCTGGAACAGCAACAGCAGCCTTGGGGGGCAATGCCGCGGCGCTGTCAACGTTTCCTACAATGAACTATCCTGTCATGCCTGCTACAACAGCGTCTTGATATGAGGTATCAGCTGCTACAACTGCATTCTTTTCATTCCTATCACGAGTGTAAATTACAGCGGAGGCACATATACAGTACTAGCGAGTATTGCGCGGCCTTGCCCGTGGCTCATTGAAAATGAGCTGAAGCCGATCGGACGGTAAACAAAAAACTTTCATAAAACCGTTTTTCGCTAATTAATTGGGGGTGGAATTTTCCAAATCGCTGAAACACGGATTCATTAGGTTCTTATGTAGAGCTTTGAAAATAAGTTTCAAGAAGATTGGACATAACTTAAAACTTCACCAAAAAAACTTTGAATCTCACTTTCCACCGAGGAAGCTTAAATTTTCGAAAATTGTGAAACACGTCTCAAATGATTTTTCATATAAATCCTTTGAAATTAATTTTAGCGCGAAACGTCACCCACCAAATCTTTGACCTTCATTTCCACCAAGAAGGAATACATTCAGCTTCTCTCCGACAGTTGAATGAGAGAGAAGTGCGTAACAATCAAATCAAAATCAAAGTGATCTACGATTCAATATCGGCGTGTAATAAACTTTCTGACCCCAAGCGTCACTGTCTAAGTTTTGGGTAATGCTGTTACAGTATTGCCGGCAACAATAACTTGCAAAAAATAAAAATATAATAGAAAACAAACACAAATTAACCTGCCCAAGGGCAATAAAACGGAACGAAGGCGGCTGCAGCTGCATAGAAGCGAGCGCAAAACGTTCCTTATCAATTGTGCGTGTGCACCCTAGTGCGTGTGCGTGTGATTGTGCTTGCATTGTATACGTTTTTGCACCGCAGCTCTTATCTTTCAGCATAATTTTTAAACTTTTTGGGACCGTTGCGGTAAATCTTGCAAAGAAATACTTCTCATCATGGACACGTACAGCGACACCAAAGACTCAGAAATATACAATTTGTCCCCATCATTTATCTCCAAAATGAGAAAATTAGATTTATAGACGCCCAAGCGAGGCGACTAGACGAGCGGTATAAAACTGTGCTTTGCGAGAGCCAGATACCTGCTACCGCCTCGAGCTCGGTCTACATCGCGACCACAGCTAACGCCTTCGCAATTACCCCAGTCACATATGCGCCGCTGATATGCCCATCACAACTCTTGATGCCGATCAAGAATATATATACTTTATAAAGTCGGAGATGCTTCCTTCTGCCTGTTACATACATTTGCAAGGGCACCCGATCCGCTCTCCTCCTTATCTCTCTATGAGCGAGTCGGTTGCCCAATCATGGTTGTTTTATCGCGTTACCCCTCTCAGCGCAGTGGATCGCAGCCTGGGCGTTGCCACTCTCCAGCTAACCATCTGCTTCACCACACCTCCCCCCACCCCTCCCCGATACCCTGATAATATCGGACATAACCAACTAGGCAAACTATCGATGCTGTCAATAATGTAATAATAATGCAATATCAGCACGCAGATTATTGTAAACAAACGGACGACGTTTTTACAATTAATCTGCGTGCGCATTTTTCATATTAGTTCGTCTAGCCGGCTAATTAGAACGCCCAACATAGGCCACACCCCTTTCCTTAAGCTGAGCCACGCCCAACGTGAGGCACACCACGACCTTGGTCTATACTCTTATATCCTTGGCATATAACACGCCTAGGGGCTTCCTATAAATCTTCTAGCAAGTACGAGCTGTTGCCTACTCGATGCACTACTTTAGGAACTTCCTCGCAAATTTGGTGTTAAAAGTTTCCCAAAATCGTTCAGTACAAAGTTGCGTCGGTAGACTTCTTGGCCGGGTTCCGCCTGGAACAGTCGGGCTCGAGCGTTGTACTGCCGATGACTTCTTTCGTAAGCCTGGTGTAGCTGGCTTTGGACTCGCTATCTAATCAGGTGTATTTTGTCTGCTGGGTGCAAATGAGAAATCTCATGATCACCCAGAGACCCTAACCTACGAGCCAATTTGTAGCATGCCCCGTTTAGGAACATATGATGTCCGAAAACGGCAGAGAATGGAGTCACCCCTGTCGCTGTGTGTATGGACACTTCTATTTCTGGAATTTAGAGGTCCCACTCGCGGTGATCTTGCTCTAGATACGCTCGGAATGCCGACAACACGGTACGATTAGCACGCTCGCTTGCATTGCTTTGTGGCGCATTTAGTGCGCAAATGCGAGATGCCGAAAGCTGATATGAAATGTCGTCCGTTGTCAGAGTGAATGACCTCGGGTACTCCAAACTTATAGAAAACCTCGCTAACCAAAAAGTCCACTACGTTAAGAGCCGTAGCCTCTCGCATCACTTTTAAGAAAGTGAATTTTGAAAAATGGTCGACTACCACGAAGATCCAAGCGTGCCCTTTCTTCGAACGTGGGTACTTTCCCAGAAAGTCGATATACAGTTTTTGGAATGGTCACTCCAGTGTTTTAACATCTCACCTACATGAGCCTTCGCAATTAAGCCAGCTTTCAAAGAGCTTGGCACCCACAGCTTCCGCACGGTGCCTTCAAACTCGTCTTCTAGGTGAACGAGCCCCATCCGCTTAAAAAGCAAACCCCCTCAACCTTCAGGTCTGGTAGTTTGTCCTGATTCGTAATTACCTGTTCAAGCAACGCCTGATATTCCGCTGACTCGAACTCGGGGTCTCAAATTTAAGAAGACCTCCTGGAACCTTGCTCACTGTTTCGACACTGCTCATTTTCACTGCCTTTACGGTGCAACTGCAATGCAACCAACGAACTAGTCTCCCGCTAAGGTCCTTCTTGCATCCCTTCTATATACGGTCTGAACTTTTTTATGGCCAGTATCGCTAAGCACTCCTTTTCAGTGACGGAATAGTTTAGTTGGTGTTTGTTCAACTTGGCTGAAAAGAAGGCTGAGACTGAGACGCATCGCACTGTACGAAGAAGGGTTTAGAAAAATCCGCGTGCACGAGCACTGTGGCCGTGTTCAGGGCGGTCTTCAACTGTTCAACGGCTTGTCTTGCCTCCTCAATACAAACATTCCACTATCTTTTTTTAACATTTCGGTTAGTGGTGCGGCCATGGTCTCGCATAAAGCGCCGGTACCAACCTGCTGAACCAAAAAATGAGCAAACTTCTTTGCGCAACCGAGGCACGGGGATTCGTTTAATAGCTATAACTCGTTCGGGGTGCATGCGAAGCGTGCCTCCGCCAATAATGAATCCTAGATATTTTAATGCCTGAAGCAAAATTTGAATTTGTGCAGTCTGATTGAGAGGTTCGCTTCCCTTAAGCATTTTCCCACTTGTCGAAGATATCTTAAGTACGTTTGAAAATCTGAGGAAATAACTAGTAAATCGTCCAAATACACAACGAAGTTGGACCATAGCGCAGTGGGAATCACCTTGTGCATCACACGAACTAGACGTTGGGCTGCATTGTATAGACCAAATGACATGACTCGAAACTGGTATAGTGGCCTACCTGGTACGGTAAATGCGGTCTATACCGCAAGCCCTGTGGCTTGATTTTGTCGTCTAGTTCGACTTGCCCATAAGCGAACTTCAGATCCACACTGGAGATGTAGTAGGTCTGGTCTATCCTAGACAGGATGCTTTCTATACAGGGTACTGGATACGCTTCATTCACCGTCAAATTGTTGAGCTTGCGTGCATCGAGGCAAAAACGGGTTTTACCCAATCTTCGCACTACTGTTGTGCGGTTACTCTATAGGCTGTTGCACTCTTCTCTAACCCCCAAACTCAACATTTTGTCCACTTCATCATCCACTACTTTCTGCACCGCAAGCGATAACGGGTAGGGTCTATCTTTCAATGGTTGGGCCCCGTCCACTAAGTCGATAGTGTGCTTCTCTAAGTCAGTCGTTCCTAATTTGCTACGTTAAAAAGAGAAAAACTCTTGCCTTTCTTCCCTAGACAACTCCCTTGAATCTGGCTCACTTTCGAGTTATTCCTCTTCTTCCGCATAGTGCGTCATCGACACGGCCAAGAGCTCTTTGCCTTGGCATTCTGTGGAGATTAGCTTCTCGGGGCACAAAATGTCTGAGGCTAGGTTAAATGCTCGCCAGAAATCAATCCCAAAATAGGCTCGCTGTTTTAGGAAGGGGCAGATAAAAAAAGTTATTTACCTATTTTTTAGTTTACTTATAATCGATTTATCCTCTCCTCCAGCGGTTGTGACTACCGAAACGTAAGGTTGCACCGTAACCCCTAATTCTTCGACAAATTCTCGACTTCCTTTTCCCAGCAGACTGACTGATTTTGATCCCAGTGACCTCCACTTCGGCGAATACGCGTGGGTCTATGCTATCCTCTGCGTCAGCGTGCACGAGCCTTCACCACTCTAAGGTTGGCCAGCGTCATCCCATCTAGCTGTCGCTCACCAAAAATTCTATTTCGGGAGGACATGTATGCCCGAACACGTTCTTCATATGGTAAGCCCCTTAATGTCCGGCTTTCCGCACTTATAGCAGAATATCTTCCGCTCTTTGGACAGGCAGTCATGTGAGTACATCCATAGCATAGATATATTTTCCCAGACTCTCCTTCAAACATATATAATCTTCACCAGCTCGCGGTCTCTCAGCGGCTTCTGGACTCGCGCGGCAAACTGACGCATGTGGTGGACCTTCGCTGGTCTGTTGCTCTCGCTGTAGTAGCTCCTACATTACATCATGCTCCGTCTGATAGCCCCGGAACCTGTCTAAGAGAACGTGCCGTAGTTGCATCCAGCTATCGACCCTAGAATGCCGCACATGCATCCAATACCACTAGCGGGCACGGCCGGTCAGGAGCAGGTGAAACCCGCGCAGCCCCTCCTTCCACGGGCGTTGATATTGCCTCTACAGGAACTCCAGCCGATACACGAAATCCACGACAGAATTCATTGCGTCCTCGCCGTCAAACTTGACGTTCCACCGCTCGACCTTCAGGTACGCCGTTCCTCGTAAGTTGGCATATGCTTCCTCCGGCTGAAAGTCATCCGCTCTCTGGTCCTCTTATCGGAAGTAGCGATTAATCGAAATCAGCCAGTTCCTCGCCTGAGCATCAGCAACTTATATTGGGCTGGTGGCGCTCCTCGCGCGCCTTGTCTGTGTGGCTTCGGTGACACCGGTGGTGGAAATGCCTCGCGCTGGATACCTTCTCACTCTTTTGGGATGGCACCTGTTCGTGGTCCCGGCACGATGGGTCTCGACGGCATCGGCGCAATGTTAGGCTCTCCGGCGTGGCTCCCTGGCGGCCTAAGCACATCAATGATGCCCCTCATCATCTCCATGATGGACTCGCTCATGTCAGATGGCAAAGCATGCAAATATGTCTGGTGGGCTTGAGCCGCGTTTACTGCCAATGTGAGCACTGAGTCCTTCGTCGCTTTTGGGAACTCCAGGTTCCGTGGAGGTCTATTTTGTTGCGCCAATTCCTTCTCTAAGTCTACCAGATGACCCTCCGGAATCCGTCTCTCAGGAAATCCCCGGAAATTCATTGGCGTTCTCACCAGACCTCCTGCCGGAAGTGGCGGTGGCAGTCCGAAACCCAGTGAGACACCTGTTCCTCAGCCATACTGATCCCTTCAGAAAACTGTACCCCTCTCTTCTATAACGCTTACTAACCATAATACAAAAATGTTCACAAATAATTCCTATTAAATTAAATAAATAAATAAACATCCACCAACAAGTCTTACTAATATTCAATAACTAAATAAACATCGACCACAAAACCAACTCTCAAAAATAGTTTTTTTGTGTTTTTAATTCAATTTCACATACTTTGGGGGAGAGAAGACAAATCCTAACACAGTGGACCACATTTAAGCATTCGTCAAATGCTCAGTTCGTCAGTTTGACTGACGAACGACAATCAAGGAACGCTATCTTGAAGTGGGGCATGCTGTGTCACAGGTGCAGGGCAGGATCGAATCTATATCGTCCTGGGTCACCTGTCTCCAAAGTTCATATAACTACGGCCAGCACACACCAAACTTAAACACAGAGCGAGACAAAAAGAATAGTAAACATTAAACAAACTCTAACCAAAACCTACCCTAATATCACAGGTTATTTTGTCATGGCGGCTACCACCAGGCTATGTTGGACAGTCGCAAACGCTTCGCCGACTTACGAACGTGTCATACTGTCATCAATCGCGACAAGAAAACTCCCCATGTTAAGAGATACCATGGCAAGATCCGTCTCCGTCACTCTTCTGCGGCGCAGGCTCGATTCTACATCGTCCTGGGTCACCTGTCTCCGAAGTTATTGTAACTACGGTCAGCATACATCTAACATTAACACAAAATGAGACAATCAAAACTAATACTTAAATAAATAACATCTGACAAAACTACCCTAATATCACATTTTATCAAAAGATGCCTTTGTCATTGCGGCTACCACTAGGCTAAGAGGAACGGTCGCGAACGTTTCGCCAACATGCGAAAGTCAATTACCGCAATCAACCACGACAAGAAAAACTTCTTATGCTCAGGGATATTCTGATAATATCTGCCTCCGTCGTGCTTCTCGGATTCCACTACACGCTGCGAGATTATGTGTACTCATGCCACATAAGACATCAGCGGTGTGGACCCCAAAGCCAAGGGTTGCATTCTCTGTACCCGGCTGGCTCATCGATAAAAAATAAATCGATAAACATCAAACAGCTGGAACCACTAAGAAATGAACAACTGTAACTTCTGTGACAACAAGTAAATGTAAACAACAAAGGTGAGACACTCAATATAAATTAACTAAAATAACACTATTAATCCACTTTACTCTCCAGATCGGATCCCGCTTCCGTACCCGCCCTACCTGAGACGATCACCTAAACTCGTCTCCCTCATTTTGGCCACTAGATGGCCTTCATCAGCCCGTGTCGGCTGTCATGCCCCTCTCCACATCAGTTGAAACTTAGCCGGACATTTCTCTCTTCAGTAGGTGCGTATAATTGTTTGCGTTTCTAATAATTATTAACAATTTCAATGTCTCTTGTCTCCAATTTTTACAGGGCATCCCCGTTGTGCAATTTACGATTCCGGGCAAGCTGGCATTTGTCTTCAACCCGTCAACAGGTGCGTATTACACTTAGCATATTCTTATGATTATTGACAATTAAGTTTTAATTTCTAAAATTTCATTTATAGCAGAACAACAACAAAGAAACGACGATACCGAATGTTAGGGCCAATTGAGTGATTGGCTCCCCCCACACATTCATGCCGTATATTCGCATGTATTACCACGCTGAAAAAAATGGTATGTAATAAAAATTGTTATATATATGCTAAGGTCGAAGTAAGTAAATGAATTTTTCTTTTATATGTATACATATGTACGGATGGAGTCCATCCAAAACTAAAATTTTCCTTTTTAGGTTCCCCTGACACTGGTCGTAACCTTTGGGTCCTCCCTTTCGACGCAACCTAGGCAATATATGTATTCCTTTTTTTTTTAATTTAAATTTTAGATTACACAGGAGGCAAAAATAAAACGAATCTTAATGAGGTATATATTTCTTGATCTTATTTTAGACCAATTCTAATGGGACCCAGAGTTGGACTGCCCTTCGGGTTCCCTGGGCCGTGCCCTTAGCCTGGGGTGGGATAGCGCTCATGGAACGGATTCACGTGGATATAGCCGCCCTTCCTGATTTTGGTTGTCGCCGCCTCGTCCGCTGCAGCTCGCCTTTGGGGGTCTCCTCTCTTCCTGCTCTTGGATGGCTTGCGCGTTCCCTCGCCCCGGACAATGTCTTGACCGGCCCAGCGCCGTCGAAGTGAGCTAGGAGCTGCACTGTATTTGCTTTCGTCCTATATATATATATTGTTTATTGGAGCGCGCGGCACTCGGTTTTAAAGTTTTCTTGTTATTTACGGACGACGATTTTGTGCGGCCGACAATTAAAAGAAAATTAAATTTTTGCCCTGCCCGATCTATTTTCCAACTTATATATATATATTTTACTGCGCGGCCTTATTTAAATTTATTTATTATTTCGGCACAATTAAACAAAAAAAAAAGCCTGTCTTATCTCGTTCCGCATACTCCAGTCATACTTTATGTTCTTTTGAAAATTTGTTTAAAAGGTGCGCTTGCGCACAACACGCCTGCCGCTAACCGCTGACCAAATCGAACTCCCTGCTGTACACTTGGGCAGCAACACCATCGGTGCCGAATTTCGGCACACGCATACATGTTGCTGCCCATCTGCACAGCTGCACGCTAGGGGCAACGGCCCAGTTGTAGGCCAACGGCATTAGCAAGGGCACTCGATCCGCTCTCCTCCTAATCTCTCTATGAGCGAATCGGTTGCCCAATCATGTTTGTTCTATCGCGTTACCCCTCTTAGCGCAATGGATCGCAAGCCGGGCGTTGCGACCCTCCAGCTATTTGGGGGTTGCTGGGCGCTTGACTTCAGCCTCCCTATACCCCGACCTTGCAACGAAAAGATATCGACGGGGCCGATAATATCGGACCCAACCAACTAGGCAAACGAGTACTGGGCGGGTACTAGGCCGACCTACGTTTAACATCTTAAGTCTCTTGTTTTTGGGTTCAAGGTATAAACAACTGCCTGAAGCATACGAATATGCTAAATTTCACCATCGCCGAGAGCCTCTCCTATATAAAAAAATAATGCCAAGTTTAAGTTAAAATAGCAAGGGAAATAGTCAACCATACGATCGTGTAACTTATGCATATATGTATTTACGAGCTCCAAAACTTACCTTTTTTTATTTCATAATAATTCCTTACATCCGTGCAATTAGCATTATAGTAAATATTGATGTTAATTTTATGATAGCGGGAAAGGCATGCGAGCCCGTGTGTAAATTGTTGAACGTGTGGAAATTGTCGTTGACTAATAAATAAAATATTTGTTACCAACATGATGGTAGTGATACTAATATCGGTATCGCTAGATTGATATTTAATATATATTCATAAACAAAAGTGGATCGGAAATATAAGCAAATCTTATATTCAATTAAATTAATTGTACGGGAAATAGAAAAGCAATTTTTTTTATCAGGACACACATTTTGATGAAGGTTATTTGGTATATAAGGGTATAAAATTTCCAACATGGCCAACTGATAACATGCGTCTCTAGTTAAGTGCTTGACAAGTCATCGATAGCTTTAGGCAGTAGCTGCTCTAGAGAAGGAAGTGTGTTCCAAAAAAAACTATTTTTGAGCTATAACTGTCCCATCGGACACAAACAAGAATCGAACCTGAATAAAACAACAAGGTAATTATTATTCATTTGTTAAACTGTGACTAGGTAAGTTATCCTCTTCACGTTATAAGAAAACTAGAAAACACAAAATATATTCCCGTTAGTTGAATAATCTGGAAGGGTATTAATCTTCGGCACGCCGAAGATAACTTTTCTTGTTTTAATAAGGGGTGTTTATGTAATGCATTAAGCGTAATGTACTTTACATTTAACAAGTTGATATTAGCGTTTGTTTTACATCAAGTATATTCGTAATATTTCATATACAATAATTGCTTTTTATCGCAAAATGACTAATATTAATTTGTATTAAATTATTTAATGTCACTAAATGGAATTTACATAGGTATTTTAAAGCAAAACTTATTTCACCCTTAAGCCACTACAAGTTACAACTTAGTAAAGCAAAAGTAGCTATAATAAGTAGTTGAATGTTTTAATAAGGCCATATTAACACAGACGCTGCCAATTCAATTGGACAATGGCGTTGCAAAGATTTGTGCTTAAACCTGCATAAAAGAAGCTATTGTATATTTCAACGCTTTCTTAAGACATTGCATGAAGGAGCAGTCACAGTATTGTAGGTCCACCGCATCATTTTCGCAAAAGACAATGCGGAATGTTTAACACCAGGTAAGGTGTTGCATTCTGTCGCTAATAAGGGAATTTAAGTAAATTGTATTTCTAATAATAAAATTATTAATGTTACTTACCTAGTTCTTAACGCTTTTATCTTCGCGTTGCTGCTCCATTGTTTTATTTTCATCGGCGGCATCTAATAAGGTTTCTGGTTGCCTGTGAGAATCGCCTGGCAATTGTATATCACGGTCAACGTTTTGTTTAGAATCCTTGGTTTCCAGAAAGTCTGCAGCTAAATGTGATGGAAGATCCTGCGAATCTCCCTTTGCTTCAACAGTACAATCGGAAGGTAACGGTGTGGGTGTTGGTGTAAGGGATATGTTGGAAATTGAGTCAATATCATCTTCGAATTCTGCGTCAGCCGCTTGCATAATCGTCAGGATATCGGTTGGAGTGTGCTTAAATTAAAGAAGAACATAGATTTTACAATAAGGACAAACAATCACCAGCAATTTATCGAATGTTACATTTCCTTGCAAGTACAGCTGCGTTATGTTTCTTAACCCTGCCACAAATGCCACAATGTCTAGGTACGAATAAACAATTTTCCACCAATTAAACTATATTTGTTAAGACCATAGATAAGCTTAGTTTGAGTTGTCAACATAAACAAATGTACCGTCGGCAACAATAAAGTGGATCTATGCCAATTAAATTGAGGAATCAGTTTGCATAGAAACAGACTGACGACGTAATGCACTTTATTGAGTCGTCAGTTAAATTATAAAAAAACATGCTTAGCAAGTAGTAGCGGTTGAATTTCGGTCACCAAGCGATACTAGTATCTAAGTCTAAGCCAAGAAAAGCCAGACAATATAAAAATATTCCTAATACTCCGCCAAACGCACGATCCGCTTGTAGATTTGATGTTGATTCCATATTGATAAGATTTGGAAGAAGAATGATGAAACTAATAAACCAAAATATTTTTTTGAAACAAGAACTTAATTATCGATCGATAGTTTCCCTACCAGGTTTTGCTAATATCCAGGGAGCATAGTGAAACCAATAAACGCCGGGTTTGGCCTAAACGGTAAATATTTTTCCTAATCCATGCAAACATATGTAATATTGTATATTTTGTAATTTTTTGTTCTACCTTGTTAAAGTATACATACAAAAATTAATCGAAATTTAAGGTAATCACAAAATAGTATATAATCTCTATATATAAAACTGTTTGTCCTGACTGACTGACTGATTGGTGATCAACGCACAGCCCAAACCGTAAGAGCTAGGAAGCTGAAATTTTCACTGTAGCTACCTTATGTGATGTAGGTGCACGTTAAGACGGGGTTTCGGGAAATTCCACCCGCAAGTGTGGAAAAATCGCGAAAAACGTTTGTATGTAACTTTTTTGTTTACCATCCGATCGGCCTCAAACTTATTTTCAAAGATCTTTGTTCAAATTCATTTGAGGGGTGTTTCACAGTTTTAGAAAAATCCGTTCCTCCTTGATGGAAATGGAGGTCAAAGATTTGGTGTATGACGTTTCGCGCTCAAATTCGTTTCCAAAGATCTATAAGAAAAATCATTTGAGACGTGTTTCACACTTTTCGCAGAATCCAAACTTTTTCGGGTGGAATGCGACTCAAAGATTTTTTGTGCGAAGTTTTAAATTGTGTCCGATTTGCTTCAAACTTATTTTCAAAGGTCTACATAAGAATGTAATGAATACGTGTTTCAGCGATTTGGGAAATTCCACTCGCAACAGTGGTAAATTAGCGGAAAACGTTTGTATGAAAGTTATGTGTTTACCGTCCGATCAGTTTCAAAATCATTTCAAATTTTTTTGAGAACATTGATTTTATAACATACGTGCCACGGGCAAGGCCGGGTTATACCCTCTATTATTTATAAATGTATATACTTTCATAAATTGTTGTTTTAGAATATCAAATGTATAAAACAATAATACCTGTATTACATCAACTCGCTGACGATCATGCATGGCACTTAAAAGTTCACGTAAATGTTGATTTTCCTTGCGTAGACGCTCGCGCTCAACATCGCGTTCATTAATTTTGGGCTGAAAAAATATTGTAAGATATAACTATTATTTTACTACATGAATTAAGATCCACTTACCAAAAGTAGAGAAATTTGCTCATTCAACACATTTACAATACTGCTGAGAGCATGACATGGAACGCTTGGCTCTAGAGAATTAGCGTGCTGAATGCGGTTAAGTCTACATACGTTTCCAACAGTGGGTGCTGAGCCTGCCCCTTTTTCCACTTCAGCTGGAGGCATTGCCTGTGTTGTTTTTGGGGAAATGTCATCCGTGGATAATCTTGTGTGAGTCCTATTAAGTGCAGCCTGCTAAGAACATTAAGTAAATATATAAATCACACACCAATTTTTCATGCTATTCTATGAAACTCACCAAATTATCATACACATCATTAATTTCAATGTGGTCACTTTTGTCTGCAGATTCCTCATTTTGCTTCGCATCGAACGAGTCTCCCGTCTGTTGAGACGACTGGTTTGTCATTTTTGTTGCTAGTATTTGATTCTTATCGTTAAGTTCAGATAAAGTTATATGCTCTATTATTTCAGTTGATTCATTTAATTTTGGAGCTTTAAGGGTTATTGATGCCTCTGAGTTATGGGCATTGAAACCTACACCTGAATGCAACTCATCAGGCGATTCTCCACAAATGCCATCAACACTAATGGTGCTTTGTCTTTTGTCTATATCAGTATTATTGCTGTTTGACTGAGGCAATATCAAACTATTTTCTGTAGCTGGCACATTTAAAAACTTAAAGGGCGCCAACGGGGTAGCCGTATCTGATGACTTTGCAGGAATAGAAGGCAAACGCAACTCGTCAATTTCGCAATATCCGTCGTCATCTTCATGTATAGCTACCTCTTCAACAAGAAGTGATTTATGTTTTGATGTTTTCTTTAGCTGTGGTGTTTGCTGTTGAGCCTGCTGTTGCTTTTTTGGTTTCGGTAATGGTGGCGGAGACATTGCAATATTGAGAAGCCTTTCCTTTTCGTGACAATGGTCACACACAGCCGTCGATACAGCTGATATCTCCATTTCCGGAGACACATGCATGTAATCATTTAAGATTTTGGTCAACATCTGGACTTGATCATAGGCAGCTAGTGCAATATCAGCGCTGTCTTTGGGTGCTTCTGGCATCATAGCAATATCGACAATTTCGTTAAAATGCTCCACTGGCAAGCGAAATATATCACAAATAATTCTCTGCTTCTCCAGTAAACCGTTTCGAATAGAAGCATCTAGGCGACGTAATCTCTCAGCTGGCGTCAACACCGGCTCGGCAGTGTGCGCAGGGCTTATGCTAATTTGAATCGCGGTTGGTTCAACAAGGGGTGACTGCATGAGTAATGTGCGAGTGTTATTAGAATTATTCGAGCAAACGATGCTAGCGCTGTCGCGCTTTGACTGTCCGCCTATTAACTCGTAGTTCATTGCGCGGTCCTCGTTATTGGCCTCACGTGCTGATTGGGTGTGACGCAAACATACAGTATTTATATCCTGAGTAATGGTGGGATAGTTATTGTTAGACTCTCCACAGCTACGCGTGGACATGGTACGACTTATGACCGCGCTTGTGTCGTTTTGGCTGAGGCGTCGCTTAGCCATTATGTTGTAATAGCCTTCATTATCAGTGTTAGTGCTTTCGCGACGGCAATTACTTAGCTGAGCACCACTGTCATAGTTATTAATTGTGGTTGGGGCTGGTGCTACAGTAGCTATTGGTAGAAGCGGTGCCAGAGGAGTTGTAGTAACAATTGCAGTAGCGCTTGTTGGTTGGGAACGGTCAGGCGTTTGTTCCACTGACTCTCTGGTATGTGAATGCGGTGTTGTGGGGATAACAGGGTCATCACTAGGCGCATCTTGATTGTTAGCATTTTTCAATCGAGGCTTATATTGTTGTGCAGCAGCATCAGATATGTGTTTAAACCACCTGCAAGGACAAGGAATTATATATATTGTAAGATTTTAGTCATGACATATTTTAAATAAATACAATAATTAAATTATTTTATATTAAAGAAAAGGAGGAAAATTGTCGCCCATTCGGAAAAAATATAAAAATATTCTGTATATGATTTATGGTAATATACATTACAAATCTTACAGTGACTTGATAAATGGGCAGACGGCGGGATGTACACCCGAACATGGCTGAATAAATGCAGCTGTCGTCCTGATTTAAATATATATACTTTATGAAGAAGATGCTTTCCTTAGCTTATTACATATATATGCACCGCTGCGGATGAATAGGAGAATATAGCTAGGTAAAATCGTGTCACCATCCTGATGAATAATGATATATATTTCATTCTGTTCAGTTCATATTTACAACTTTGTGATACCTTCCTGCTTACACAATTTAAATTAACTTTAGCAGAAAATTTATTTAACTTACGTTTTGCACTCAGAGCTGCTAGGCGCCCGAAGCTCTAGCATTTGAGAGGTCTTTGTCTTTATTAAAAAGAACGAATTTTTATCAGCGGCTTCCTGACGCACTAAAGTCTCCGAGTCAATATTCATAATAGGGCTTACAGGCTTATTACTGACAGCTAGTGGTGTATGAAGATTCTTTAGTAAATATTTATCGTCCTGTAAAAAGTCACATCAAAGTAAATAGTTCATATGCTAAGATTAGCCGCAGAAGGGATTTTATTTTGACTTACCTGTTTTGTTAGCAAAACTATCATATTTTCAAAAAGCAATCCATGAAGTTGTATACTAGGATTCTTTTTCATCGTTAAGTTTCCGTCATGAACGAGACGATGTTGTGTTAAATCTAGTTTTTTAAATTCGTCTTTATCATATGAAGATTTGTCTAATTTGCGTTGAATGTTCTGCAACCTTTTAAAAAACGTTTTTACCAAAATATAATTATTTTACATTTTACCCAATTTGGTAGAATTTTCTTACTTGTGAGCATCTTCAGCTGTTTTGACAGCCTTGTTTACTTCAACAAGAATCTTCTTCGACGACTCCACGGCGCGCTGTATAGCGTCTGCTTCAGTGGTGTTTTCAGGTTGTACTCGAATAGTGACCTTATAAAGATTCTCAAACAGAAGAGGATATTTGGTCAGTCGCTGTAATACCGTGGGCAATAAGTCCTTCAGCTCTAGTCGACGACAAGCCTTATGTGACTCCGATTTTTTAAGCAATTTTTGCAATTGTTCGTCCTTGTGTCGCTTTTCTTTTAATGCTTCAAGTGCTATTTGCTGGCGAGCGCAAAATGAAGCAGCGTGTTCACAAAGCACCTCACCAGATTTACCATCAAACATGTCCGAGAGCAAATCACCAACGTGTTGTACCACGTGATTATGATCTACGCGACGTTGCTTAAGCTTTTGTTCGAAGGCACCATGAAGCTCACGCAACGATAGCAATGCAGGGGGAAATAATAGCAATAAATGGTCTTGGGACAGCAAACCACTGTCATAGAGAGGCAAAAAGAACAAACGATCCAATAATCTAAGAGTGCGGACGTGATTTCGTTCTGTTTGATAGATTTCTACACATGGTATAATGTAAGTGAAATTAGTCGCTTTTATAATATTTAGAACTTTATTTAAGCTTACCATTTATAATTTCTTGTCGCTTTTTTTCAGCATCTGTTAGCGCTGCAAGCATCTCAACAGCAACTATTGAACTCCAGTCCGTTTCATTGAGATCGTCATCATCGCTTTCAAAATTCCACTGACGTTGCACAGGTTGTCCGGCATTCCAGAAGCTTGTGTTGCTGGCACTACTGTTACTTCCCACGCTACCTTGAAACGAATCTTGCTGACTGTGCTGATTTGCGTGCTGCTGCATAAGGATATGTGGATGCTGGTGAAAATTGGCTGCACTGGTTATGACGGCTGTCCCAATGGTTGCCGTGGCAATACCACTAGCAACCTGCTCCATTGAGGTACTTGGACTATCAGAGCCACCTCCCGAAGAGAGACTAGAACTTGAGCTTCCCGTATAGTTTGATGTTGAGAGGCCCAGGTCTGCTTGGTCATCACTGTGAATATGATTAGTATATTTTTACAATTTTACTTCGCAGGGAAACTTATCAATATTTTTTACACCCTCTGGTAGATTTACAGCCTAAGCTGAAGAAAGCAAAAAAAAAGAGCACATACTTGTCATTATTCTGGGACACCATCTCCTTAAAACTTTTACTACGAATATAACGAACTTGGCTTTTCATTGTTTTCTATGCAACATGACACTGCAAATTTTTTCAAATTTTCTTAAATTTTTTGTGCATGCGCCGGTTCAGCTCCGTTCTAATTGAATTGAGTGCGAGGACTGCCACTGAACATACATATATGAGCAAAAGAGGTGCAGCCAGTCAATAAGTCTAATTCGTAATGTTGATTTAAAGTTGGGGTTGTCAGTAAGATAATATAAAAGCCCCTCAGTCAGTAAGTGAGACAGTTTAATAAAGGAACGGAAGCAAAACTAATGTGATGGTTAGACGTGGCCCATATTATGCTGTCATGCATTATAATACATGAGCCACACAACGAGTTAGAGACAAGCTAATATAATTAATTTTGTACCCGGCGGCTGCTTGCAATACTCTTCTATGCACTTTTGTTGCCCCATGCATACAGTGATAAAATAATTCTAAATTCAACAAGTCTTGCGCGTGTTCCCCAACTTGATTTCAAAATTAATTTAATGCAGATGTGACGAAACCTTAATTTTTGCGTATACAGCCTTAGAACCTTTTTTGCATGCAAGGGGGGATTATCCGAAAAAAAATATTCACGTCTCGAAAATAAATATTTTTTAAGACCTTTAAAAAATATTTTGAAACCGTTTTGTTGCAAAATGAAAGTGTCGTTCAAGAGTTCACAGATAAAAAAAAAAGCGAACTGGTATTTTAAATGTAATAATAAAAAAACTGCCCGGTCAGAGGTAAGTATTACTTGCTTGGTAGGGTATTTAATTTCATTAAGTTTCCTTACTTGGTTCGCGATGATAAGCTCGGGTCTGAAGTTTTGCGACGGCTATTACGGATCCGCTTGTTTGAAAGTCGTTCCTTGTACGACTCTGAGCGGTTTACCGATACCGGAGCGCTTTTGTTATGTTGGTAAAAACTGCAAAAAGTAAAAAATATAAATATTAGTGAATATAGGGATTTCTTTAATGTTTATAGGACAACATACGTTTCTTTTCGCGCATCCTTACTATCGGCCGATTCAGGTGCATTTAGATCACTTATAGAAGTCATACCACTCCCGCCTGTCAAACAATTAGATAAAGTCGTAGAACCCGAGCTTATAGTAAGATCTGAGGCACCTACGAAGCCACCACTACTGGTAGCACTTTCGTTGGCGTTGCTGGTAGCGTGAAAAGAATTTTGCAGATCGCTACTATTAAGCACAGAGGTGCTACTGGATGTATTGCCATTAGAACGAATCGATATGTTAGCATCAAGCCTGCGGTCTGATGGCTGGCGAACAATTGATGAGTGTACGCGGTCTAAAAAATAAACGAAAATGTACATTATTACGAAATAGCGCAGTAAGTGCTGTAGCGCAACACAAAAAATAAAACAAATTTCAAAAAGAGCCAAAAAAAAATTAGACTGATCTAGGACTATAAGATGTACCCATCTACGCAGCCGACACTGGAGGGTTTTTCGTAAACCCTTCAAGATTTATTGATCATCACAAAATATAACTTTTATAACTTTGCACAAAAATATATTTGCAATCTTTGTGTTTGTATATATGTATGTATTATTTTTTTGAGTATGTACGTAAGTTCGTACATATACCAACATGCAGTACACCTGGGGAAAAAATAACAAATGATCACACATTTTCAATAAGACCATCTTCTTATACGTATGTGCATATGAGACAGTTATATATTAAAATACAGGAACAAATTTATTTTTACGTCTTAATGCACATTCACATGAATGTAAAATAAACTTGCGCGTAAAAATATAAAATTTTTGAAAATGTTCGGTTTGGTGTAGACGAAGATAGTAGCCGAACTCATAAATCTATTTTTAAAGCTTGGCAAATGAACTGTTTATTGAATAAATGAACGGGTGAATGTACATGTGCAATTATAACAGGAAGGTCCGACTCGGAGATACCCACTATATTGTGACTAGAACTTCGTTTTATAAATACACATGCTTATCAAAAACAATATAAATACTAAGAAAAAACAAAATGTTACAAAGCAACTTGAATTTCTTAAAATTAAGGACAAAAAAAAATAAAGAGCGTAAAATGTTAAAAATAGAATGTGTACTCAGTTTCAGCTCTGCGAGGACCGTGCGACAATTATGGGTATATATTTATGTATATACATAAATAGAATATTTTGTGTACTAAGGTTGAGTCGGTAGAAAATAGATTTTAGCCGAAGGCAAAGTTTAAAAAATTTTTTTTAAATTAAATTATTTATTTTAATGCTTTTATTTTAGTTGTCTATCTCTATATATTGGTGATCAACGCACAGCCCAAACCGTAAGAGCTAGGAAACTGAAATTTTCACTCTAGTTACCTTATGTTGCGCACGTGTGGAAAAATCACGAAAACGTTTGTATACAAGATTTTGTGGTTGATGTTTCGGTTCAAATTCATTTCTTAGAATCTTTATGATTTGAGATGTGTTTCTTACTTTGGTGGACATCGCGGATCTAAGATATTTTTGGCGAGGTTTTAATTTTTGCTTCAAACTTAATTCAAAAGTTTAACATAAGGATTGTATGAATTCGCGTTTCAGCGATTTTGGATTTTTTATCCGTAACTGTGGTAAATTGGCGGAAAACGGTTTAAAGATTTTATCCGTTTGGCTTCAAAATCATTTTAAAAGATATTTTTTGAAAATTCATTTGAGATGTGATTTACACTTTTCGTAAAATGCCCCTCTATTGCGGGTAAAAGGTTAGAAGTGTAAGTGTAAAGTATTGTCCGATCGGCCTTAACCTTATTTTCGAAGCACTAAATAAAAACTAAATGAATACGTGTTTCAGCGATTAAGGAAATTTCACCTGCAACTGTGGATATATAGTGGAAACTGTTGCATGCAACGTTTTTGTTAACCATCGGATCAGCCTCAAACTCATTTTCAGAGATCTTTGTTCTATTTGACACACGTTTCGGGATATCTGCCGCTTTTAAATGGAAAATGCGGCGGTGGGTTTATTGCACGAATGTTTACTCGTCGGCTTCAAGCTTCTCACCGCAAGACTAACATGGGGGGAAGCCGTTGATTCAACTTTTGGTTCTTTATTCGATGGACTTTTTCAAATAGAAGTGGAGATAAATAAATAAAAGAGATTGTGGTGACTGATTGACCAAACGGTGATGCACATCCAAAACAAAGATATACGAAACTGAAATTTTTCCTTAAGCTTTCGTTTGGCCCGAAAATGACTACGTTTTTAAAAATCGACTCGCAATTGGTGAAATTAAAATTAATATAACCAAGTAAAAAGCTTCAAAATAACAAACCGAATTCAAATAACAGATCAGACACACAGCACAGATTTCAATACAATCGATATAGTATTGCTGTTTATAGAATTCAATAAAAACTCAAATCAGGATAATAATATAAAAGTTATAAATAAAAAACAAAAAAAGGGCACGATTTTAGCTCCAATATTTTTTGTTGAATAAAGTTAATTAATAGATAAAGAAAATTGCATTTAAATTTTTTTTTTGTTTCTCTTCTGCAAGTTAGTTATTTTCGTTACTAAAGAATATCTTAGTCGCTGAACGAAGACATTATTGGTTCACTGTATATGCATTTGTGAATATGAATGCGGTATAGGGTGACCACAGGGTATCGTCTAGTCAACTGCTTCGGATAGAGCTATCTAAATATATGCATAAATTTGGTACATATACAGATACATACTATGTATTACATACATACACAAGTATGTGTGTTTATTATTATATTTTGTTTATTTAGGAAAAGTAAACAAAGTTCAAAATAAAAAAAATCATTTTGCTGTTATGGTATATAAGGCATGTAACTTTATAATTTGATGCACGCACTATAAGTAAAAAGTTAACGCAATATTAGCTACTTTAAGATTATGCTGGATCAAAAAAAGAAAGTTTTGAAGCAGTTGTATAATATCTATATATACAGACAAATATTTGGTTTTTAACACAAATCGTGTCATATTAAAAATTGCAAAAACTAAAACGCGAATAGGTCCCGAATGCTCAAGCTTCCTTCTATACATAGCATGCAATACATACATATACAAAAACTCAAATGCACGCCGCTTGTTGCGCAGTTTACCGGTGGCTGTACTTTTTCACTTGGCTTCGCACTATGGAATATGTATTCTGATCTCTATGAAATTTTCAGGCCATAAATGTGGCACCCAAATGTGTGTATATACCAAATGGCAACGGGATTTTATTTTTTTAATGTTTGTGATGAACAAGGAGAGGTATCCAAAAAGTGAAATATTCCGGATCTGTGTATATTATACAAGAGCCCCCATACTAATTTAATTATTAAGGTCGGGGATACCTTTTCCTGACTTAAGGTCATTTGCACAACAACAATATAGCATTTTTATCCATTTTCAGGGTATAAGAAAACACGAATACTTCAACAGGAGACACCTTTAAAAATCATCATGAAGCGTGAAAATAAATGTGTAATTTTTTGGCTTCTATGTCCTTAAACACAAAGCATTTTTTGATCAAAATAATCTAAGCGGACATCACGGGCAATAATTAAAACGAGTTAATAGTTATTGAAAGACCAACACTTACCGTTAATTGACTCTGCATCCATGTCCTCATCCTGACGAGCGCGTTTTTCATCTGAAATTGATCAAATCAATATAGGCCATATAAACAAATAAAAAAAACGCACTTGCTATAAAATCACTCGTCCGGGGCCTTATTTTACCCATAAATTTACTAATTTTATTGTCGTTGTGCGGGTGTCGTTTTGCCTGAGGAAGAGGTCCCGGGCAGCTTTCATCTAACACTTTCGAGCACGGACGGTGAATGTTTAATTTACAGTCTACAATTAAAACATAAATAAATCATGATTGAAAGCATACAAACTCTTGAAAATAAGGTACTATGTTATGGAATTTACCTGTGCAATGATAACCTTGCGGGCTCACACCCCATATAATCGTTTGGCAATGATTACAATGTGTCACTTCGTAGTATTGTCGTAATACTAATGGATGACCCCGTACAATCATCTAGTCGAAATAAATTGTAATGTTACATGAAAAAAGTTAACAATATTAGCAGAACGTAGCGCTATCGTTGAAGAGCCAAAGATTAAATACCCCTGCAGAGCTGTTGCTGTAAACACGTAGTATACTAATGGTATCACATTATATCACACTATACTTATACTAATAGTATCACATTAACCCCTCTTATCTTAACTTGTGTTTTTTTGTATATACTGAATACTTCTTTTAATTAAGCTTGACGTCCTGATCAAGAATATTATTATTGATGGGTGAAGCATTTCATGATCAATATATAGTGGGAGGGTAATATATCAATTAGCTCAATTTAAATAAACTAATTGGAGATAAGTTTTTGAATGATTGGGTAAAGTATTCCAGGAATAATAAATTATGCAAGGGAATAGATTGAAGATCTTTATTTAAATAAACTAGTTACAGATCAATTTTAGAATGCCTGGGTAAAGGTTAAAAGGTTAATTTTTTTTTTATATATTGATTACTTCTATTAATTAAGCTTGACGTCCTGATCAAGAATATTATTATTGATGGGTGAAGCATTTCATGATCAATACATAGTGGGAGGGTAATATATCACCATTGCTCAATTTAAATAAACTAATTGAAGATAACTTTTTGAATCCTTGGGTGAAGTATTCCAGGAATAATAAATTATGCAAGGGAATAGATTGAAGATCTCAATTTAAATAAACTAGTTACAGATCAATTTTAGAATGCCTGGGTAAAGGTTAGAAGGTTAATAGATAGATTTTCTAAATTTATATAAGCTAGTTACAGATACATTTTTGAATGATAATAAACGAACCTTCCGATTTTTGCCCATTATTCGTGATTTGAAACTCTTTTCACGGCTAACGAAATGGTGTACACGATCCACTATACTGTTTGGATGCGAACGCGTCGTAAATATGCGGTTTATCACCGTTGAAAGAGCAGAACACAAGGCAAGTTTCCGAGCATCTTCTTGTGGCAAATCCTTTTCAAACTCTTCACTATAAAAAGCTAAATTTAACACCATATAAGAGACAGTGGCGCCGAGTACTTGCATTAACAATTGCAGGTTAGGCATAAGATATTTGTCGATAATTTGTTCCCTCTGCTTGTCCCCCTTCGCTTCAGCGAGCTTGTCGTCGGTAGGCCCATATATGGTTCCCAGACCGGCCGTGCGTTTCTGTTGAAATTCCCGTAACTGTTCGCTAATGATGTCCTTGGCCCGTTTGCGACTGCGTAAAAACACAGTTCGCAATATTTCCACTTTATCGAATTCCAGCTGTAGCACATTGTCGACTTCCCTCGCTAAGGACTCGTCTTGTCGATACCAAGACAGCGGTGCACGCGGTACAAGGAAAGTTGAGTGTATTTCATAGGCCCATTTTCGCATGTCCTTGGAAGTACCCTCCTTGTATAGTTCAGTTATAAGATAGAAAAGAAGTGGTGCTGGTTCGGAATTGGATAAAACATAGTTAAGGAAGACAGCTAGAAAAACAACATTTTCGGACTCAAGCAACCGGGTTAAGTTGTTAAATGGTCCATTCTCATCGATAAATGGTTCTTCCTGATCAGAAGAGTTCTCGTCTTCCATTGATATAATTTCCTTCTGAGTGTCTGTAGACTGAGCCGCCTGTATGCGGCTGGAATGTAGAGGCTGCTGCGAAGGTGAGGTTGCACACGCCAGTGGCGTAAAGTGATGTGCTTCTATAAATATTCCAGCTCCGCCACTGCAGCTTTCATTTGGATCTTCAAGTACGGGCATGTGTGAACTTGTTAAGTAAGGCGGCGGTGGAGTACCTGGTGGCGTTATCTCGGTATCTTTCTCCACGATCTCCCAAGAGCCAGAGGTGGTTTTTACTAGTCTATCTGTAGAGTGTTAAAATAAATGCAATGAGTATCTTAGTTAACATAACTATCTAAATCGTCTTAAATTACATTCATTATTTTATGGGAATGTAATTTTTTACAATATTAACTTAACGATACACATATACATAGTATTGAATATGCATACATTTACACATTCGAAAAAATAACTAATTAAAACGTTACCCGGGTGTCTTGGATGCATATTGTCCGGTGAAGAGCCAACGCGTCGATGTTTCATTTGATTTAGCGGGGGTGTTTGACCTAGGACCTTTCAAATGGTAAAAAAGAAACAATCAAAAACCAATTACAAAGCGAAAGTTAATAAAAACGTGTATTTATACGTAAAACGACAAATATATTTATTCAACGTGCTTTATTTAACAGCAATATTTTCAACATTTGGTTATGCACATATATACACATATAATAACTCCTTATCACCAATTGCATTTATTTTGTATTTGTATAGATATATATTAAAGAATACATATGATATTTTGGCAAAAATAAAGTGAAAAATATTGTATATCTCATGATTATATACAGTTATGCGCAAATAATTATTTCTTGTGCTTAAATTACATAAATTGTAAAAGCTTTTAGACGAAGATTTCTGTTTAAGAGTTGTCAATATTGCGTTAGGGCAGACAAAAGACATTGCAATAGTCGGTTATTTATGCAGGAATTGAATAAGTATAAAAAATTAGGATTTTTTAAGTTTTAACATTTAAATAAATAAACAAGCATATTTCAAACACTGCTCGAAAGTTTCTACAATGAAGGTTTCTAAGCTGTGGTGAACGAAATATAAATCCAAATGACACTGTACTTCTCTGAAATATACATACGTATGTATTATATGGAGGGCGGAAATACCTTTCTTAATACTTTCCCTAATTAATGCGTTTAAAAAAACGATTATGTATCCTCTAGCCGAAATTCACATCTTATAGATACCCTATTCCTAGTTCTTAAGTGGCCTAACACCTCTTATATATTCAGGCTGACAGATACGGTTACATTGATCAGGAGATAAGATAGACATGATCTATTGTTAAATGGAGAGAAATATAATTTTAGCCTCAATTTTCTTGTGCCAATAAGATGTATGTATATGTAGTCAACTATAGCAATTTTGGCAAAGTGGTAGCATACACAATCTGTGAGGATTAATAAAAAATATCAAAAAACTGAATAATGAATAGCTTTGTGCTCCTCTGTTATTGGTAAATGTGAAAAACTTTTAAAACTATGTACATGATAAACTGATCAAACACAATAATGGCAGCTTATGCAGGTGCTTGTCAAGCAATTCAGTTCCCCAAAGACATGATAAAATGATTTAAAAAAATTGATGTAGCAGTGAAAAAATAGTAATTTGCAAATGCAATGAAAGTAGATGTTTTATTATAAAAAGGGATAATAACTTATTTATGAATTAGGGAGTGAGAGATCTTTGATTACTTACTGCTGTGGACATACCGCCGAGTGGCTGTTGTTGTTGCTGGTTCTGTTGCAATTTCTTAACTATGTTGGGGCGTTGCGATAATGGAAAGGCCGCCTTTATATTGTCGCTTTGAACTGCAGTACATGTCGAAACAAGTGGATAATTGTAACCAGTACCTACAGAATTTGGTTGTGCACGTCCAGTATTTAGGTTCTGGCAGCTGCCACGATTTATCTCTTCTGACAACATCCCCGGCTGCCGTGGAGGCAAAGGCGGGGGAACATTGTCTACTTCCATGTTGCCACAATTACTCACATCTTCAGTTACAAGTGACCTATTAGTTGTTTCCATTTGTAAAAACATTTGCGTTGTCATTTTTGGATCCGATAAAGCTTTAGCTTTGACTTTTGATCGCTTTGCCTTGGCACTGCTGTTATTGTTATTGTTATTAATTACAGGACTACTGTTGTCGTTTGTATTTGCGCTCGACTTCGGTGAACTCCGCTGGGGACTGCCAGCACGATCCAAGTCGGAAATCGGGGAAAAAAGGTGGGCACTGTTTGCATTACCCAAATCCAAGGTAAGTTGCCTTGTTGGATTACGCTGTGGTAGGGGCGGCGGAATATCTTCCTCGATCAAGCTCTTTGATATTGTAAACATGTTTTTACACTTTGATCCTGATGCTGATTTTAAATTTTCTCTTAATCGTTGCTGCTGATAAACATATTGTTGTTGCAAACTACGCTGCGTATTCTGATGGATATTCGACGTGTTCGTTTGGACATGGTGGTAAAGGGACTGCGACATTGGATTAAAAGCATCTTGAATTCGCTGCTGGGGTAACACGTCCGTTGTATTATTTAGTGTCGAGGTTAGCAAATCTTTGTCGATCTTATTCTTTCGCGTACCCAGCGAAAGAGACGAAAGTGAGCGTGGCAGTAGCGATAGGAATGCGGGTGATGTGTGTTGTGTTGATTGCGACTGTGGTGTGCTAGCCTGTTGGTGGTGATGATTGTTGTTGTTGTGAAGATGGTGCTGCTGATTGTGATGAGTAGTGACAACAGACAAATTTGGAATTTGATTGTGTATTAGTAAATCAGTATTTTTGTCGATTGCAGCGGCTTGACATTTAATTGCTGGCATATCCTGAAGTCAATTCATTTAAGTTGATCAAATTAAAGTGTTTACAAATATTAAAAAATAGTTCGTAGTACATATACATATGTATATCAGATGTACATATATACATAAAACCTTACTAGTGGACCTGAATATGTTTTGATCAACGCCCGACCTTTTACTAAAATATTATTTCTAATGTTATCAAACGTTTTTTTGGTAATATTAGTTGTTTAAATTTGAACAATTTTTAATTTTTTGCCAAAAAGTAAGTTGCAACATTTTTGGACAAATATAAATAAATAAAAGCGTAATTTTATAAGAGCTTGTACGACACATATGTATGTATGCATTTAAGACTCGAGATATATCTAAAAGTAGACAAGAATATCTCTCCGCCCACACATGAACATTAATGAAGGGATGATGTGTACTGTACTATAAATTTAGCATAAGTTAAAGAGCTAGCAGACGGAAAACAATATGTGTATAGGTGTACGTGGAGAAGTTTATCGTAATTATTATTACAATATAAAATAATGTATACATGCGAAGATCGACAATAAAAATATACATAACTATATTGAATATACATCATACATATATGAATGCATATATGTACACTAATACGAACAGGTAAACAAATGAGAATTTGGACTGCCAGAATCATTTACTCACCTCAGCTCCTACTTGACGTAATTGTTCACGCAGCTTTCGTATGTTTGCCTCCGACAGTTTATAGCTGGGATTGTTTGTGTCGCCTTTAAGACGCTCCAGATTTAATTTTTCTTGCTCCAACATTTTTTGTAGGGTTTGAATCTTGTACGTTTCCATCTCTCGTCGTTTAATGCTCTGCAATCCAAATACAAATATGACGATTTGTTGGTTTTGTTAGTATAAGTAAAGTTACGTACATCAACAGGTTGGGGTCCAGTAATTGAGGCTGTGCGATCGCGGCCCGAGAGTACCGGTGTCGTTGGCACAATTCCCACAGATGTGGGCCTAGACATCTTTTGACTGCGTTTTACAGACAGTTCCACAATTGTGGAAGCTTTTGTAAATTAAGTAAATATAAGGATATATAGGCGTTAATAATATTGTCAAAATTCAAAATTTAAATCCGATGTTTTATATTTCCTCAATTATCATTTCGAGAATGGCCCTAATAGCTTTGTTTAAATTTGTATTAGCCTCTGGGTCGTTATATTTAGCTAAGGAGTTAGGGCTGTGGGATAACCAACGACGAGCGATGCAAATCAATAAGTTGGAGCCAATAGAAAGCGATAAGAATCCAAGTAAAGAGTCGAAACTAGTAAAATTTGATAGAGATAATAAAGAGGACTCAAAACAATCGACTAACTGTTTAAATACAGATAAAGACTCGAAATGCATATGTAAGTCCGATACTTGGAGCGAGGAATTCGAAAAAGCATGGAATAAATCTCTGAAGGCAATCCAAACTGTTCCTGGTCACTGGCGCCGTTTTTCGCAGTCCATCCAAGAAAGCATTCAGGAGTTTTTTAAGAGTGACAAGTAGGCCATACACAATTCCAATTTAAATTATTTGTAGGTTTTATCAAAATTACACAGTTTTCTAAACATTTGGCATTTTTCGTCCACTACATTAAATTGTTGGCAATCAGACCAATGGTCATTGTTATAATCATGAAATTAGCTATTGTAGCTGGTACAGTATGGCTAACTAAAGAACTAGGGGTTTGGGATGGCCCTGATACGACAGCTGCAATATACGAGGATGTTAAATGTCAAATAAAGCCGTTTGCAGAGGACATAAAAGAAAGATACTGCTCTAAGTATTGTGGGACGAACAAGGAGCCCGCAAAGCCATGGCGTGAATCCTTTGTTGATGCCTGGAATGATAGCATAAAAGAAGGCTTTCTAACAGCCAACCGATTACCTAAATATTGTTATCGCTTTACAGATGATGTTCAGAAGAGTATCAATCAGTTATTTCATGGCAATACAATGAAGTAGGCGATCATCAACATGGCAAATTCAAAAATAATTCAGACCAAAAAATATGTCTGTCTAATACATATAAAATTTCGGTTCATTAGACTTATTTAAATAGATGACCATCAATATGGCATATAAATTTCTTACACGTTTGGGTTTTCTTACAGGGGTTTTACTTTATACCACACACATTGGGGTTTGGGCGGAGCCAGATGTGGCCTATGAATTAACTGAACGTGTGTCAAGACAATTGAAAAATATCGCCAATAGTTCTGGCAGTAGATATACAACACGGCATTCCGTTTTTGACTACTGTTTTGTAGCTCAACGAGACTATAATAACGCAATTAAGCGGGGCTTCTATTTTGCCTATCGCATGCCCGACTGGACAAGTGAATTTTTGAAGCATACCAAAGAAATACTGGACGAAAATGAGCTTCAGAAGGGTATCAACGATATACATCGATCAAGGGACAATCACTCTTCGCTCGACAGTGACGGAAACGCTCTTGGGCACCGCATTGATATTGTCTGTAACCCTGACGAATACTCCCCGGTGAATATTGAAGGCAATCGCTCAATAAAACTACCAAAAATCAAGGACGACATAACTTGCGGCAAACGAGTACTTGCTTAGGCGGCTAAATATTTCTAATGTCAAAATTTTAAGTACATACATACATTAGGGCAATCCTTTTTCCTGTTTTAAAATTTGTCTTTTCTCGATAATGATTATAGATCTCGCATTGCGCACAGGAATCGTGGTTGCTGTTGTTATGGCCACCAGACACTATGACGTTTGGGATTCGTCGGATGAAGCGCAAGAGGTATACCACTCAACAGTAAACTGGGCCAGTCCGTATGCCAGGCAAACTTGTGACTATCTGAACATCCATATACCACCGCTCCCCCCCCAGAGAGAGAAATCGTATCTCGGTGTTTACTATTATAATCAAACAGTTATGACTATAGTCGACTTGCTTAATATGGGTCCCACGTATATACATGCTGTTTTAGAGCAGGTTCCAGGCTTTGTGAGCGATATTGTACGACGCGCACGTGAACAATACGACAAATATAAAAAACAACGTTCAGAAGAAATTCAACGGAAAGAACGCAAAAGATGCATTGACGAACGGGCACTAGTGCAACCTCTAGAACCATACCCTGATGCGGACAGCCAATGCCGTAAGAAGTTAACAGAACCCAAAGATGTTCCAAAAACTCCTTATAAAAAGAGCCCTTGTCCAAAACCCTCAACCATTCCTCCCTCTAATCCGGATAAAAGGTGTTACTGTCCCAAATGCGACATTAGAGAGTCAGATGGTTGGTCGGATAATAAGCCCAAGTGCCCGAACCGTGACTTATCAGAAAGACAACCCGGAACACAGTTAAAAGAGGCACAGGATAAATGCAAATGTAAAACCGGTCTGAAGGAGCCTATTACACCTGGCAAACATAATTGACGCAACAACAAAATCGCGGTGGAGAAATTAATAAATTGAACATCCGTCACACCTGTTTAAAGGAGAGCAATATGGTTAGGTTATATACAAACCTTTGATTAAACTCACAACAGTCGGGTGTTTTTCCAGCCGAACTTCTTGTCCATTTACCTAAAAAAAAAATAAGGCAGTCAGATTTCAAAATTACTTTAAAATAAATTTTAAATTTTAGGGTAACAGCAAACCTTCAAGATCATGTCTCCGGCAACTAAACCAGCAATTTGTGCAGCTCCACCGGGCTTTACGCTTTCCACAAAAACCGGGTTGTCGCCGGATACCTATATAGGTGAAAATTATTATTTGTAACAAATGGCGTTAATTGGACTTATATGAATATCAACTTGTTAGTGCTGGCAGACTCGTTGATTTTTGTGTTGGCTACTTACTTTCATACCATAGCCATTATCATCCTTCCGAACAGTTAAGGTTAAATACTGAAAATTTTTTGGTGATGCTGGGTTGGGAGTCATTGGTTTTTGCACTGGGGCAATTGGAGTTAGTTGGAGTGTCTGAGGACGACTACCCGTTGAACACGGGCTGGTTCCCACGTTAGTGATACCGTCGCCATCAGCTGTAAGAACTGGACTTAATAGGACACCAGTTCCCATTAGATTGCTCTCACATGGTCCGGGTACGGCAAGTGCAGCCACTGGCGTTGCACTTGCACAATCAGAGTTCTCCGCACCATTCATAAGTTTCGCCTTATTTTTTTTATTCTGCTGTTGATAACTGCTTGGCAATGGAGGCGTCTGTGGTGGAACGTTGTTATTATTGTTATGGCTGCCACTAAAGCTGCTAGCCAAGCTACTAAAGCTGCTAGCCAGAGACGGAGATCGTGGTATTTTTGATTTGTTGGCTGATTTCTGCTTTTGTTTATTCTTGGAATTCTTTACAGATTTCTGCTTTGGAGGTGGCAACTCTGGCAGCGAATCCTCGGTTGCTGTGCCCCCAGCGACAGCAGTAGTGCTTGATGCTACGGCACTGTTGTCTCCAGTATGGCTATTTTGTGAAGTTGATGTTGACTGCAATAACTGATTGTTTGATTCCTCTGGTAGTTCATGGACTTCATCGTACTCATGATCGTCGGTACCAAAATCAATCAATCTTTAAAATGAACAACAATTAGTAAAAAAGCAATACAACACTCGGTCGGTCTGCTAAAGCTTTCCATTCCCTATCAACAAAAATACATAACAATGACGTCCCGACGCTTTTAATCCCACATAGTACAATGCAATTATAAAGCCCCTCACAGATGTCAAATACTAACGCTGATGCTAAGCTGGAATAACACTCAAACGCTAATTTCCATGGGGTGGTTTTAGCTAAGGCTCGTATTTTTAGATGTAGTAAATAGGCAAGAGCTCGCAATCAAAAAAATCATGCCAGTAACAAGCCAAAGCCACGAGATCAACTCACAAAACAAAGTGACCACTGTTTGACCTTTTTTAATTGAGCACAAATTAAATTAGCCATAAAATAGATACAAATTAATTTCTAAACGTTTTTTGTTGCGAAAATTCACATCTAGTATATCAGAATTTCAACATACACAACATTTCACTGGAGGTAGAAAAGTTACGATACGAGTATCAATGATTTTTAATCTTAAAACCTCAGTCAATATCAGTGGCCCTTCTGTGTATTTAAAAACTATATAATAGCAAGCTGAAGTACTCATCCATGGTTTGTTTAAAAATATTTAAAATTATTACGTAAAGCACTACTAAGCTTACTCTCTACTATTATTTTATCAAACGAGGAGCCCGCAAGGGGATCCCGTGTTCAAAACTCTTGGCAGCCAATATCTAACAGCTAAAAGTAAGCAACTTCGTCCCATCCATTCTTTTTATATAATTTTATAATGTGGGTATTATACTGAAACATAATCCACTTGGGCCGACTTTAATGAAATTTGTGCTTGAGGGGCTTCACGAGTGGTTTAGGTTCATAATTGGAGCACGTCAGTGGCGCTGCAATCGGGTTTCAGAATTTTATTTTGTACAACTTTTTAGGCTTTCGGCATATTGGGGAAAACATTAAGTACAGATACACCTCTCTTGATCTGTTACAAAAAACATAAGAAGGCCCATTACTTATTTTAAGTATCTTCTCTTTTTCTAATAAAGCCAATCAACACATTTATGTATTCTGAAACAAAATGTTCCCTTAAAAAGTTTACAATTGAACTTACCGCTTTTTGATTGATGGGTCATCCATAGAGTCCCGCAATGGTCTTTAAAATAAAATATCGAAATATTGCTGCGATTTGCAGTAAATACTTGTAAATAGCCGAAAGAATCCGTATTCACATGGGTCTCTGATCCTAAAACGGCACTTAACTCGTCTGAAACACAATGAATCTCCGAGCGAAAAACATTTTGAGTAATCAAAATTTCTTTGAAAACACGTCTCATTTTCACTTGTCTTATTTTAAATATCCACAACAATACTCGTTTGATTTGGTGTTTATCATTGTTAATTAATTAATTAATAATTATAGTATCTTAATAAATAATTAACAGGTAACCTCAAATCTAACCTTCGCAAATTGATTATTGCGCCCGTCCAACTGACAATTGTTATAACTTAATGCTTCATGTTCTTAAAAAGGAAGTCCCTGTTCAGCAAGTAACACAATATAAAGCGCAAGACTTTTTAAAATAATTGCAATTTTATTCGCCGTTCACGACAAAGTTATCAATTATGTCATTACTTTTTATTAATTTTATTTTTTTCAAAAATTAGTTTATTTGCACTATTTTTAATTAAAAAATAATGTTTAGAAATTCGTTTGGTATTTTTAATTTTATTCTTTGTTCCTCAAATCTCTTTTATAATTAGAGGTGCGCTTTACTGACTGCGCCCTATTTGCTATGCTCTTGAACTCTATAAAAAACAGTAGATAAGTTAACGCTTGTATTGTATATGATAAATGTTGCTTAGTTTTTACTTAAAGCTGAGAACAATATTGGAGTAAAGGCGTGTCGCCAGGAACTAGTTTTTCGAAAAAACCTCCTACAATCAACGATTTAACAATATATAGACAAAACAAATTTATTTACATAGCCAAAATGTTTTAATATCGGTATGTACTATGCTTTTAATAGAGATTGAATTATAAGAGCACTCGTATCATGCATTGAATGAAGGATCCATTGCATTCTGGGGTGCAAATTTTTAATTGAAAATGATTCCACACACGTACATTGTGGACTAGTACGAAACACTGTTGAAACATATTCATATACATATGTATTAATGTACACACAAAACAAAAATTCTGAACATACATATGCTTAAAATAGCGTTCAAAACAATTGGGAATGCGAACGTGATTATTTAAATAAAATTTTTGTTTAATATTAAGTAAAACATATACAAAAAGTACTTTTTAATCTGCACAGTTAATACGCTCAAACATCCAACAAGTGGTGGTGGCAGCCATATTGTTTTGCACTGTGCTGCTGCTGATTCGAGAGGTGCGGGCGTGACGAATATTTTGACACGGGACGACACAAACACAAAATATTTGTAACACATTCTTTATTTAATTTCGATTATTGCATACAAACAATGACGGAATTTTTTTTAAAAGAGCCAATATCCATTTTAAATGTTGTTAATGCGTTAAAAATGGGTTTATATCAGAGAATTATACTGCATGAGCATCCACACATACCCATATTGTCACGAATACAAAAAAAAAGCCCGACACGAACGCACCTCTGGTTGGATCATCACACTCACCAAGTAAATATGCATACATATATATACACATATGTGTTTATTCATATGCTAGTTTATATACACTCACACTCGCGCATTCGAATGCTGCCTTTTTCTTTTATGGGGCTTGATTCAATACCTAGCGCACTGCGCATAATTCTTTTACGCGTTGTGAAGCAGGCACTCTTTTCACATGCACTCATTACAATATCAGTTTTTATATTATTATTATATGTTAAATATTAATTTCTACAATTTTTACTAAGAAATTTGCTAAAAACCTTAGTTTTACTTTTGTCGCACAAACCGAACGCAATAAACGCTAAATTGATACTATGTTGTACTCGAAATGGACGATGTTATCAGAGATGAGCAATATATCGATAAAATATAAAATATCGGATAAACTACACTTAGCGCAAAAAATATATATATATGGGCACACGAAAACTGTTAACACTCTTTATTAAAGACAATTAAATTATTGTTTTTACGGCTACTTCAAAAATGTTTACAGAAGTTACAAGAAAGTTTTATAACTATACAATAAAAAAAAAGTACACAACAAGGAAAACGATGTAAGGTAAAAACTTTGTAAACTCATATTGCTAATTTTTAACAAAATATATTTTTCCTAACTAGCAGAGTTTTAGCAATGTGCATTAGAATATATTTTTGACATGAGAAATTTTATATATTTCCAAATGTCATCAAACAAATTTATAAAATATTTCCACAAAGCTCAAGGTACCATTGAATAAATAACTGAGCAGCTCTGGTTAATTTGTAGGACAACTTATAAACAGAATAATTTAAATCCATCATGTCCCCCAAAACTGCATTTAATTAAAGAACGTATACATAAACTTATTTACATAGCATATTATCACAATCCCTAACATTTTCTTTGTTTTCAAATGCTTTGTTTCAGATAATTTACAAACTAGTTTCCAAATATGATTGAAGTTTGCCGCTAATAATAATTATATGCAGGCTTTTAAAGTTTCCTTAGAATAATCTGAAATTTTTTTATCTTGTTCACTTATTTATTAAATAAAAACTAAGAGTTGTTTCTTAAAACTTGGTCAAGAGCCTGAATTTAATAAATCGACTCCATTGTCGTTTTAATAAAAGGAGGATTTACATAAATGGTTCAAATTTGCAGGTTGGTTTAAAAAAAACTTTTAATGTATCGGTTTTTTAGTAAATATCTATTTATCAACATCACTTGTTAATCAGAAATCTTAACGTTCACGTTTTTGTTTTGAAAACAAAACTTCTAACCGCGTAATACATATGGCATTTGAACTTTTTTATCAATTCGTGTTCCCATGCATCGCGCTAGCTTTGATTTGTATTTAGAGAATAAATTCTCGCCATTATTCAAATTACAGGAGAATACAGTCATGTGCTGAAAAGCAAGTTGACGCAATAAAACACTAATATCACTAGATAATATAGTAATAATCCTATTAATGCGATTTGGTAAAATCGATAACCGTTTTGTGTGTGCCAAAATATGGCACACAATTGGCGTCAAATAAGGTTCGGTTCATGGTCAGTTTGTGAAGTGGTTGCAGATGTAAAAGGAAATAAAGGGGAATTTCCAACGACATCGATACCATCGTCATCTTGTCTTTCCATATCATCGATACGCGGTATTGGCATTTCAGTCTGATTAATACTAGTTTTATAATCTACTTCACGCAAGAGTTGTGCAGCCGCAATCGCCTGTTTATTTGGGCTTGAAAATTCCAGTACCTTAAGGTGATAAAAAACACCCTCGTCGTCTAACGCAAAAAATTGTGAGAAGTCACCACTTGCATAGAAATGACGAGCCACGTTTCCTACATATTTTATACACGCTAGCAACTCTGGCAATTTGGCGTTACCCTGCTTATCTCTCCAAAGATGCTCTTTGCTTTTTTCTGCTTGTTTATCGTCATCCAGTGGCATCGGTGACTTCGCATCTTTCTGATCCTCTGATTGGTCCAAACAAGGAGATGCGTCGACTTCCTCCCGATCCTCGGCATGATATTGTGACTGCCCCTGTCTAAATCTCATGTTGCGACGATAAGGAGTCACTCGATTATTAAGCATATGACTCACGCTCCAAAAACACAATTGTTCTGCACAACTTACAAGAATCTGTTTGCAAGGCGAGAAACGTAGTTTCATTTCATGGCAGGGTTCATGTCCCTGTGATATTGTATAAATATGTTGTAATCGAAATTTCTCGTATCTGTAAATCTACAAATAAAAAGGTCTTTAAATGTTCTCCTGATTATATATAGGCCTTTTGTTGCTTTTACCTTAATATGTCCATTATAAAATCCAATGGAAAGTATTTTACCATCATTTGTGACTGTGAGGTTATTAATTATTGATTGACTTTTTATATTTTCTCTGCAGAGTAGTTGATAATATACTTTATTGGTCGTGGTGCTCAATTCACAAACCTGTAATCATATTCGTTTATTTTAATTGCTTTCAAAATAAAATGTGTTTTAGGGATTACCTTTATTGTTCCGTCTCTAAATGCTAAAAAAAGAAGATTATCTTTCAGATCAAATCCGGCCAAATGATCATGAAGTTCGTCAAAGTGTTGAAGTTTAGGATTTAATAAATCTATATACTAATTGGGGATTCAGTTTAAATTAAAATTTAATGCTTTCGAGTCTAATATTTCAGTGTACTTACAAAAATACCCTCCTCTGAAAATATAAGCAGAAAGTGCTCGTCAAAAACTCGCGCATACATTGTATATATGGCGAAATTGACCGCCCAAATTGGGGTTAATGTTGCTTTACCCTCCAATGTCGACAAATTGAAAATTAAAGTTATGCATTTTCCGCGAGATGACACAATTAATATCTTCGAATTAATATTCTTTATATAGTCGATTTTTTCAATCGTATATTCGTGTAGTAGCTCTTTGTTCTCGGTAATGCAGAAAATTTTACCATTATTATAGCCGGCATAAATTGTCTTATTTTTGTAAACGTGTAAAGCAGTGATGTGGTTGTTCCCATCCATCGGCGGTGTTGTAATTGTTGACCAATAGGCGCCACTATGCTTTTTGCCAAGTTCTGTTGGGATTTGATAAATACGCGATTTTGAGTCTACGATGAATAGCGTGCCGTCATCGGTAATTTTTAAGAGCGGGCGCAGGTATACGTTTGGTTCAAGATGTGCTTGTGACTCAGATTTATTGCCTTCAAATTGTTCTCTATTAGCATTGTGAATCCATGTTATAGCATGTTTGTCAATTCCTGGAACGTTTCGCAAGGTATGCAAGTGTAAAACATTTTTTCCAGCTGCACCACATAAAACAATGTACTTCAATATAGGATCGTTCAGATCATAGACATCTAAACAAACAATGTGCTCGCTGACGTTGCTTCGCAGAATGGGTTCGGACCATTTTAAATCGTACACAATGAGACCTTCTAACGTCCCAAGAACTAGATAACGTCCGTCTTTGGATAGTCTGCCACATGTTATAGATACTGCGCCTATATCCGAAAATTTCAACGCTTCTTGATTTAGAGGATTAATAGTATTTCTATCGGTGTGCTTGAATCTAAGCCGCCAGACGCTAGATTTAAATATTAACAACAACATTGTATGAAGGCTGCCGTCGTCGAGTCTGTCGATATAAGTTTGCATTGTAAGCGCTTCTTCAGTTTGAAACATCTGTTCCGTTTCTTTTGATCCGCGGAGCAGGTCCCAAACAGTTAATGTGCAATCACCTGTGCACAGAACATAATACCGATCCAAAACTTTTGAAAAACATCTCACGTGTCGCTGTTGCGTCTTTAGAATCGGTGTATGCGATTGTTTGAATTTTTCTTCCTTCTTTTCCCAGTCGCATATGCAAATATCTCCGTTGGTAAACGCCACATGCAGTTGAATAAAATTATTTTCTACCTCATCTTTCTCGTCAAGAAAAAATGATGACACCTTTTGATCCGCGTGGGTATTAGTCAAACGTTGAACTGCGCTATTTACAAACTGCACATTGCAGAGTGATTTCGAATGCTTAGGTGGATGGGCAAGTTGTGGTCTTTCACAGCCACAGCTACGGTGAAGCAACTGCTGCAGCGACCACAGTTTTAAATATCCGTTGCTGTACAGTGTTAAGAGGTGCGACTGGTTGTTAAACACACGCATCTCGATAATATCACAGGGATTATTTTCATCGCTTAGCAGATAGGTCATATCGCCTTCTAATGACACATCAGTTAGCAATAGCTGCTGATTGCTTAGTGCCATCAGACAATAGTCATTGTCCAGATAAATTGCATGCCGCACTTGATTCTCGCCCAAATTTATAATTTGACGGTGTTGGTTAAACCGCCCACTAAAATACATGCAAAAAATATACATATATTATATTATATATAGGTATATATTATATATGCATATATATATACCTATAAAAACATATTTACCGTTCTGTAAACCAAACATAATTGGGAAAAAGTTGCGCCTGTCGATACGCTTCATCATAAAGCGCGCCTTCCGCAGTCATTAATGCAATTTGCAACAAGTTCGTAAATTCCGACCTTATTAACTTTTCCTCGGCATAAAGCAAAAAATCCAAAAGCGTATTAAGGAAATCATTATCTATTTAATATTAAAAATAAAAAATCCTTTAGATCACGTATGCATATATTTTTAATTTGTTCCTACCAGCTATCTGCTCTCCGTAGAACCTTAGAACCTGCAAAGTATGTAGAACAGATCCTCGAGCATTCCACGGCGTAGAGTCGTTACGTATTTTTTGTTCGAGAAAACGAAAATCAAGAAATATTTTTTGAAATAAACTCTTTTTCTCGAAGCTGTCATTGAGTTTGCTTAAGTGGTCGCCAATGTGACTATAAAAATAGTTGTCCAGATGTGGTAAAGTCAGGCCATTGAATTTGTCAAAAAGTTGAGGTATGCTAAACAGAAAAATAATCATTTTAAATTAAAAAGCTAAGAAACCAGTGTTCAAACAACTTACTTATAATAATCAATAATTTTCCTGTTTAATGCAGCTTCATTTTTAATAGGTAACTTTAACTCTCTATATATGCTAGGTAGAGTTATCGTCAGTCGATTCTGCTTATCTGTATGCTTTTTTACTAAAGAATACTTATATAATTTATTGACGACGACTATCGGGTCCGTTACTGACCAAACGGCGCCCAAAAGCTGTATAAGAAAATTGATTAAATGGGAGTTATTTACTGAATAATATTACTTACATCAATAGGTATATGGGCAGAGTCAGGAAATATAAATAGAGCTTCATATAGTTGCCTGTCGTTAGGCTCCAACACATTTAAGGAGGTTTTAATTATAGTAGTCAATTTGGCAGAGTTTATTCTGTTCAAAATGATTAGAATAGTCATATTTATAAATATATATGAGATAAGATATAAGTTACTTACTGTTTCCAATTGGCAATTGTACAAAGACCATCCTGTATGCTCTCTGCGATTATACTCAGTTGGAGGGGATTATTTATTTGCTCTTGAGAAAGTGCTTCCGTTAACTCTTTGATCGAATCGTGTAGATTTTTAGGAAGATATTTTGCAAATAAAGACTCCATCTCGGATAGTGTTAGGACATCATTGACAGTGATATGAGTTGTAGTTGCTGGCGACAGGAAATTAACTACGCTCTTGTCCCGGGTGGTCAGTAGGATCTTACACCCTAAGTTAAATGCTTCCCACGTTTCTTTGTTCTGAACATTGCGCAAAACGAGTAGACAATTTTTGTAAGACTTACTTTTAAGTATATTTCTTAGCTGAGTTTGCACACTTTCGATGCGTAATGGCACACTTTGGTTGCAGTAACTGCACAAGTTGGGAGCAATTTGGTAAAGAAATGACTGCAGCACTTCTAAACGACTCTCTGGGCAAAGGCAACTTCGCACGTCTAGCCAAAATATCTTAAAGTCCATTTTCCGCTGCACAACGTACGAGGAACAAACGTCTAAAACAAGCCACTGCTTGCCAGCTCCAAGATCGCCTTCGACTACAACATTTTTCGACGGCCTCAGTTCAAGCAAAGCCTTCTGCAGTTCCAAGTGTGGTTCAATCCTTGGTACATTATATTTTGTGAATTCTTGATTATCATTATACAGGCGATCAACTTCCTGAATGTAGATTTCGGTGTTCAAGCTGGGATCACTACATTCTTTCTGAATGGCGGACATTAGAAAACCATAATTGGGTCCGTGTGAGTCTTTAAGCCCTTCTTCGACAAACTTTTTAACTGTTCCCTTTGGTTGGTCCCGCAACGTCCAAAATAAACGGTATGTTTGCATTGGGTGCGGCATTTTCACAATATCATCGACTTCTTTTTTATTTAATATTATTCGCAAAATATCCTCAATATCTTTGCAATCAAAATCCTTTTTAAAATCTTCCAGAAACACCGGGATTATATCCCCATAGCTATGGTGCAACTCACTCACACTGTTGCAGCAACTCATCTTATTCGATCAGTCCTGCAACTATATTCGGGATGCCGTATATTTCATATCATTGATTAATAATATAATTGGCTATTTAATAGTTATTTAATTATACAATTTTTAAAAAAAATCAATACATATAAAAACTTAATGTTTAAAACAAAATTTTTTTATTATTATTACATGGACAAAATTTAAGAAATTTCGAGGTTAATGAAAATATTAGAAAGGGTTTAAAATAATCCCAGAAATTATACACTATAAACATTCGCTTTAATATTTATTGAATTTAAAGAGTTAAACAAATTTGTTGAATTGGGGCAAGATAAATGATTGAATACTGAAGTTTCTTGCTACGTTCATCGATCCAAATTACATAAACAACGCAAAAACATATAAATGTTGAACGTGTACATAATTGAAAATATCATATAAATGGAAAAGTTAGATTATTTGTCGCTGCTTGGTATGGGCAAGCAACACTGTTGTCCAGGGTCGTGCTTGAGGGTGACTTAAAAAAGCCTCAAGGATGTTATTTAATGTCGTTTCTGATATGCCTGAAAATGTGGTTTTTGTACAAACAACTCATCAACCAAGATCAAGCTGTGCTAAAATTCAGATGTACAATTACAATTACATACGCATGTAACCCAAATAATCAGCTAAGACTGTTCTATTCAAAAGCTGCCGACTCAGCTATACTCCGTCCTCTGTCTCGTTATTTCTCTCATCGTTTTCTCACTCATCGTACTTGACACAAAATATTGCTTGCTAATATGTATTAAAATCGGTTAGTATTGATCTAATAAAATAGATTTTTCTCTTTGATCTATTCTTCATACATAATACATATATGCTTATATTTTCGATGTTTAAAATCATAATACCTTTTTTGTTATTCATTTTACTGCTCAGGGTATGAGTAAGTTCAGTGACTTCTGATACATATGTATGCATATATGTATATTTTTGTATACATGATTATTTAAAAATATTCGGATCGTCTTAATTAATTATGGAATTTACTGGGTTGGATAAAATATACTTACAATTTTTTTTAAATATTGCAAATAACAAGTGATATGAAATATTTATTATTTATTAATTTACAGACACAAGATGCACAGCCAAGGTACACATGCTTTGCTACATACATATGTATATTGCCATTATAATAGTATCACAAATATATTTCCGACTTTTTTAGTTATGATATTTTTAACAAGATCTGAACACTAGGAAAACATGCAGAAACATATACATATGTAAGTACTGAGCTAATGGAAATCACTATTGATATCGCTTGTTTATATATTTATTGTTCTGGCAGTGTGACCGTAATAGTAGAAGTAAGAAGAAACTATTTTGCTACCACAAAATACTGACAACTGCAAATTGGGCGATATTAAATGCAACAATAAAACATAAATTGCTGTAAATACTGGTTATTTTCTTTTTATACCACCTTATCATTGCCGAAGATGATAATTGTTGAAAAATATGAACTTGTTATACCAAACATCAACATATCGATAATACATAAATATCAACTCTATGTAGCTGTCGCGGTGAAAACAAGTTATTCGCACTTTATTGCAACAAATTTCTGAAAAGGAAAAACTGAACTGGTAAGAACTCCTATTTATAAATTAAATATTCACTTTTCGCATCAATATACAATATGGCTCTCTAATAATAAATCAGGTATACATTTATATTCTATAAACACACGCAAATAGAAAGTTCAATTAGCAGCAAAAGGTGACGACGCAAGCAAGACGAAGAAAAAAATATCATCTACGTATACGTAAATTTTTAAGACAATTAAGGTAGGCAATGAAAATAACATTACATACATGTGACATTAAATGTTTAGCAAAAATATTAGTCCAGTCATCGTTGATTTGGATTGAAGACCAGCTTTGTGCAAATAATAAAAATACAAATAATTTTAAAACGAGGAAAACAAAATGTCCGCTGCTTTGACCGAATTAGCGACACTCGACGTAACCGCAATGGAGCGTGAATGTGATTTGCATTTTTAATTTTTAAAAATATTTAAATGAAATAGGCTTTCACGTACATATTTATTTTATAGTTTTTGAGTCCGACGCCGCTACCGCTATGTCATGCCGTGCACCCTTTCAACCCGAGGAACAATACGAGCAGTTGCGCCGACCGAATCCTGGACCAGGTGCCGCTATTCCTATCGCACCACAACTCTCCACTGCTTTGCCTCTGGAACAACAGGCCCACCTTTTTAATGAATTTGCCTCTGTTGGCTATGCTCCGGCTGCATTTGCACCAGGTCCTCCTGTTAGTTTTGCAGCTCCTTCACAGGCACCAATTATGGCCGACGTGGCGAGTGGATTCGGGCAGTCAAAGCTTTCGGCTAGCGCGACTGTTTTTATACCTAACCAATCGAGTAACAGCAATATAGGTAAGCGTGGACCGCCACCGCAGCAACAGCAATATCAGCATCAATCGTCAGGGCCAGCACCTTATGCTCAACAACACCAACAGCGTTATTTGAATGGTCTCAAGCAGCAGCATCAGCAGCAAAAAAATTACAATCATCACCAGCAAAATCTGCAGTATAACAATGATATGCAAAAGCTGTCAAACTCGGTTCAAGCTCGTCTGCATATTGGTCAACAGCCACCGCATAATGGTGCAATGAGCAATTACTATCAACAGCAGCAGGTACAAACACTGCAACACCAACAACACCAACATCACACACAACAATCACAATCGAAATTTCAACGTCATGCGCATTTAAATAATTCATTCCAACAAATTGCACAACAGCCGCAGCAGCAGCAATATTTCCACCAGCAACCACAACCATCGACTTCATCGGCGGCTGTTTCGACTTCGTCGGCCTCGTCCCATCCTGACATGGAAACAATTGCTTTAGAATATCTCGATACTGTAATACATTGCCTTAACCAGGTGAGTTAAATAATGATACCTTTTTACTTCATATAATCGTAAATTTCTTAATTTTTGAATATATTTTCATCCAGAATCCCGGACAATTCGATACGATTGCATCACGTTTCCTAACAATCTTTGATGGCATGGAGAGTAATAATTATGTGCTCTCAATCGCCATGGAGGATATATTTGAAAAATCAATTGAACAACCAAATTTTCGGTACATGGGAGCTAAACTGTATAATTTACTGCATATGCTCAATCTCAAGCCGGATTCGCTGTTTCACAACTTGCTTAAATGTAAGCTTGACTATCACCGTGCTGAGGTAGATAAGTATATGCAATCGGTAGAACAGCAGCAAAAGGTGAGGGAGACAGCCCTCTTTCTAGCCGAATTGTACATGCAATTGCGTGGCGATGATGACGCCCGTATCCAGCTCATTGCCGTTAATATAGTGTACTCGCTGAAACAACTTTTAGCATATGAGAGTTCTGATAATGTGCGCTGTATTTGCCAGACATTGAAGTTGGCCGGTTACGACCTAAGCGCTGATTGCAAACAGGACATGCAATATATTATTGCTTTATTACAGGCGTTTGAATTTAAGTCGCCTGGTAAATACGCTATGGTTGCCAATGTGATTGCATTGCAACAAAACAATTGGGGACGGAAAGTTTCGAATGCTCTTGGTGGAGATGATGATGCTGTTGCAAAGCCACCAGAGCCACCACGCTTGAGCGACGAACCCGTTTTTTATGGCCCAGATGGACGCGAGCTTACAGCCGAGGAAACTGATTTTCTTGCCGCTGAAGATGATGCCACCGGCAGCGATGGCGACGAATTTGATGTAAGAGATAACGATTTGGATCTCGACCCGGAAATGGACGAAGAGACTGAGCGTGCTTACAAGGACTTCTGTAAACAAGGAAAACAATCGCAGGCAAACAAGAAATCTTAGATTTTGTATGTGTGAAAAATGTGTGGTGTTAATTTGGCGTGGCAGTAAGGATACATTTTAAGTATACTCACATATTTAAAGGGGATACCTGACAAATTATTGGTTGTGTAGTTGCAATTTGAATTTTTTTTGTTTTTAAAAATTTTTTATTTTTAATTGGTTACAAATTATTTGTGATATATGACATCTATGCTTAGCTTTTGTATTACATACATATTTATGTCCATATGTGTGTATATGTGTGCACAGATTTTGGTAACGGCACATTCAGAAGCACTTCTCAATATTTTAAATACCTTGTTTTTATGAAATAGGTACACATTTAAAAAAATCTTAACATTTTCTTTAACCTTCTGCCACGCCGATGCGTTATAACACAAACACTTTTTGAGACTCGTACAAATAGTATTCGTATGCCTACACATCCATACATATGTAGATTCATAACTGCAAACACATTCAATTTAAATTGCATTCTCTTGATCATATAAATTTAAAAACAACAGCCACGCTTAATTTTTTAATTAATTTTAATTAATGTTAAAAAAAAACGATTTAAATATATAAATAAACCTTTGAATCGCGACCGTCTCTCAAGTAACTTATTTGCTGTACAAGTGGGTACTTGGAGTAGTTAAATATGGATAATGGCGCTTTGAGCTCCTGAGTGAAGGTATCGATAATATTCGATACATATCGGATCATATTTGCGTTTTGTAACTCATTTATGCGCTCTTCGCCCTTTTGTGTTCTGTTTGGGTCTCAAGAATTGCAAGTTATTATAAATAAAGTTAAAAATGTTTAATACGAAATTACTAGTGTCGTGTTTAAAATAAGTGCGTCAAGGTGTTGCTTGACATCGATGAACAGAAATGAACGCATAACAAAATTTGGCTCCAAACGAGCGTGATGTCATTGTGGTGCTATATATTGAAGCATTCATATACATATGTATGTACACACAATACTCGCGTACATGTATGTTACAATTTTTAAAAGTGTCTGGCATGAATATCTGTGGGTGTAACATAATAACATTGTATGTATTTGTGTACATACAAACAAGAAGGATAAAGTGAATAATCACCAATATTTTATGCAGTTTTTGTTTTATTTTTTTCATTCAACAAACGAATAATACCAAACTGACATCTAAAGGTCACCAAATGTGCATTCTTAGACACATACACATGTATGTAGATATATCTTCTAAAAAAATTAAAGGGACCGCAAACAGTTTTTAGTTTTGCGTGAGGGGCTTCGCAGCCAAAGCCGAGGCATCGTGTTGATCAAAGTAGATATGTTTGTATCTACATTTATAGAATAATAAAACTGACACTTGAATTTTATTTTTTCCTCAAAGAGTGTCAAAACATCATGTTTATATTCAAAAATTTATTATAACTGTTTTTAGTTTCATTATTATTAAAAAAAAAAACACGGTATAAGCCCAATTAAACAAAATCTAAACTAATAAATCTTAAACTTTAGATTTATCGTATATTTTCTGTACATTTTTACAGGAGTTCTGACTTATAATAAGAGTCAGGGAAATCGTCAGTTATAGCCCAAAATTGCATCTATAAATCGCAAGACAAATATTTCTGTTAGGTGTGTATTTAACGTGATCATAACATACGAAAAATAGACCATCTATCGAATGTGGATTGAGTGTGTGCCTTAGTTTAGAAACTAAACTGATTTTGGGTCGCAATGGGCAGCGTCTGGAAACGTTTGCAGCGAGTTAACAAACGTGCGGCGAAATTTCAGTTCACTGCCTCCTATCATGATCTTCGACTGGAGACCACCGCTAAGTGGTAAGTGAGATCATTTTTGTAATTTTAATATAGTTTTTTTTTAACTATCGCCATTTCGTCGGGAAAAATTGCCTGTAAAATATACATAACTTTGTATACATGGTTTGCTTTTATGTTTGTTGTTTAGTTTGTTTTTGATGTTTTATAAACATTTATAAGTATAGGGTTTAACGATGATATCCATTTCCTGTTGACTTTACACACACCACTACCATTCGCTATGGTCTTTAATATAAGCGAATAAAATATGTATATTGTAAATGATTAAGTCAATGCCTCTGCATGACTTATAGTTTGGTGCCCGCACTTTCTCGATACCAGCAGGCACCATAGCAGTTTTTGAAACAAAAATATCCAATCAGTGTTATCAACAAACAGTATATCTCCAAGTCTTATATACAAAATACATACATATATGTATTTTAGTTGTGAGTCTGTGCTTCATATATGTACAAATTTAATATAACTTTCGAATAATAAATACTTTACTAATGATGCTTTTCTAGTTTCTGCGATATTCTACATATACATAGTTACATAAGTAGGTTAGATTGTCCAAATGGACATAAATACATGTGTATTTTCTCTCTGTATATATTAAATTGTAGGATGAAAAATTTAGGTATATATCTGCGTTGCATAGAAAGCAATCGAGAAAAAGAATGTTAGTCGTAAAATATAAAAAGCATATTTTGGTAATGTTATTTTTGCCTCAATGTTATTTTAACAGGTGGGTGTTCCTAATACAGTATTTTTATTATTTGTTTTCAAAGGCGCCCTTCAAATCTTTCGGTGGTTTGGACGAGACGTTCGAGGCGTGTTGCTAGCTTGCCGCTGCCATGGGAGCCAGATATGATGAACCCACTGGTGGGAAACATATCGTGGCCAGTACCAGACAATCACGCTATTTCGGTAACATTATTCAAGGATCCACGCACTCATGAACTTGAAGACAAAGACTGGACATTTGTAGTCGAAGATGTGAGTAGTCGCATGCATAAACGTTTATTATCTCATTCCTGACAGAAGTAAATTTATACAAATTTAATGGGTGATTCCCTGCCTTTTGTGCCTATAATTTAGATATAATTTTTTCACCCAGACCCGCCCTATCTATCTCAAACTGAACTTGAAAATATCTCTCGAACTAAGAACGAAAAGTCTTGTGGGACAATCTTGAAGCCGATTAAAAAACTTACGTTCATTAAACCTTGCATCTACCCAAGAGATGTGGAAAAACATTGACAACGATTTTTGAAAATGATTTTGATTTTGACCCACAGTCGCGGGTGAAATTCGCCTAAATACGCTGTTTTGTAGCGATTTAACAATGGAATGCAACTTAAAACTTCCCCAAATTAACTTGTGATACGCAATTATCTTGCAAGAGGAACGAATTTTGTGCGTGAAACACGACTCAAATGAATTTTTACAAAGATCTTTGGAACACATGTTCATTAAGTTGTTATAAGGGCCTCAAAAAATATTTGAATTTGAATATTCCGCCGAGGAAGCTAGGATTTTTCAAATAGTGTGAAACACCCCTCAAATGGATTCGGACAAAGATATTTAAAAATGAGCTTTAATGCCGATCGAGCATTGTATAAAGAAAAAGTTTTTCGCCAATTACCCCAGTTACGGATGGAATTTCCAAAATCGTTAAAACACATTTATCTTTCTTTGAATCGCAACTTCCATGTCTGCAATGATTTCTCATTAGGATCCGTGGAAATTAATTTTGAGCCTGAAATTTAAACCATCCAAAGCTTTCACCCACATTTCCACCAAGGAGGAATAGATTTTCCAAATTGTGTGGAACATCCTTCAAATGACTTTGAACAAAGATCTTTGAAATAAGTTTTTATGCCGGTCGGATGGTAAACAAAAAAGTTATAGGTGTAATATCCCAAAACCACGTCTTACCGTGCACCTTCATCACATAAGGTAAATACAGTGAAAAGTTCAGCTTCCTAGCTCTTACAATTTGGGCTGTGCATTGCTTACCAATCTCAGTCAGGACAGTTTTATATATAGAGATATATTAAGGAGCTGACTATTTTACTGTACACTTTCAAAGGATATTTCGGTTTTCTCTTGAAGTGCGGTTTTAAAAAAACGTTCCCACACTTTAGTTTTATAGTTTATTATGTATTGAAATGTTTTTCAGAATATTAAATTATATTATACATATATATATATATATATACAGATTTCACTACTGGGTAAAAAGCGCGTATTGGCAAACGCAAGCATCAATATGCGTAAATATGCTAGTGTTGAGTCAACACAGCAGAGCTTTACATTGAGCCTTAAGCCAGTTTCTCGGAAAATAACAGCCGCTGATTTGGAATTGACAATAAGTTGTGTTTTTTTGCGCGAGGGTAAAGCAACGTGAGTGCTACTGTTTAACACTATCACTTTTAGCACAAACATAATTTTTTTAATTTGGCATTGCAGTGATGAAGATATGCAAAGCGTTGTCTCATTTATGTCTGTCAATAACAACTGTGATGTAGCGCCTCTTGACGACTTAGAGGATATACCAGACTTGGAAAATTCCGGGGACATCTCGGATAATTTATATGATTTCACGCAACAGTTGGAGCAAATGACAACAAGTTTAAATGGTTGTACTGATGTACCAACGCCTTTGAGCGGTAAGTATTTATTTATTTTTATCGGTACACCAACCTTTTTCAAAGATCTTCACAAAGTTCGTCCTGTAGTGAACGACTGAAATTATTCTAGCAAACGTTAACAAAACATAGAAAACCTTTTTCTTGTTAAAGGAAATGGTGAATTGCATCGGGTAGTATTATTGCAAGCCATGTTTGATAAAATTATTACATACATTTGGGGATATCAAGGAAATAGTTATGTTTAAAGACATACGTATATATTTATTTTAAACTTAAAAATGCCGCAAAACTATGAATTTTTTACGAAAGTTTGTAGTGGTGATTGTATTTATTTTGAATTGAAGCGCTTAAATGAAAACAAAAACGCATTTCAAAAAGGTGTCGATAGACTTAAAAAAGTATGCATAATAAAAATTTTACTACATTTTCTTTCTTTTTTGATCCGCCACTAATGATACAACAAAATTAACACAACGTAATATGTTTGACAATATGATCAACATGTTTCTTTTTCGATTATGTTGGTGTGGGTAGTTCCCTCATTGTCGGAAGATCCAACCCCATTGGCCGAGTCATTTAACCCCATACACTTTGAACTAGAAGCGGATCATGAAAATGTACAGCCTTGGTCGATCGTTAAAGCGGATGAACCATTAAATACTCCTAGTGCACATAATTCAAAACTGGTTACTCTCAGGACGCCTATTAAAGACGCTGATCTGATTAAGGAAGAAGATAATCAAATTGCTATTCAATCGTTGAAATCTAATCAAAACGAAAGGTTCCAGCAAGCTCTCACATCTACGCCTATAGAAGCACAAAAAGCTACAGTGAAAAGTAAAAATAGCTCAAGCAAAGCTCTCATCTTTGACAAACATGATTGTAGCGCTGTCGACATAGTAAAATCACAGAATATAAATTCACATGACGATGAATCAACTGAAGTCTTATCTTTGTCTACCACTGCTGAGGAAACTGGAGCCACACAATCTATCAAGGAACAAAAGAAGCCGATAGAGGACCTGGCTGTAGTACCCATTGCCAAGCGGCCTGAACTTCAGCCCCTGAATTTAAAGATAAATTATGAGTCTACACCTACCATAAATAAATTTTCAACAGTAAAGAATGCTGCTTTAAAGCCTGTGGAGAAGATCGTGCTGAAGGATAACACCCCTGGACAAGATTTGTTAGAGTGGTGCAAAGAGGTAACCAAAGATTATCCAAATGTTAAAGTGACAAATTTGACTACCAGCTGGCGCAACGGCATGGCGTTTTGCGCAATAATTCACCATTTTATGCCACGTTTGATGTAAGTACTTGGTTAACTTACTTTAGTTAGAAATGAATTGAACACAATCGTTAATCATAGAGACATGTCGAAGTTAAGTGCACATGACGTTGTTGGTAACTGCCGTATAGCTTTTGATGCGGCAGAAACATTGGGCATACCTCGTGTCATTGAGCCACGAGACATGAATTTGCTCACAGTACCAGACAAATTAGCAGTCATGACGTACCTGCACCAATTACGGGCACACTTCACAGGAAAGCAGTTGCAAATTGAGCAAATTGGTAAGTTATACATCAATAACACAGTTATTGTATACATACATTACATTCTTTGTATTTAGGCCCGACATCGGACGAGTCCAGCTACGTTATCGGCAACTACAAGTCTGACAATCTGTCGCAAAATCTAATAAACTTCTCGCACCTGAAGACACAGCTTTTACATCAGAATTCGTTTGACGAAGAAAACATCTGTCAGCAACAACAGCTGTCACCCACGAGTAAAAAAGACGTCAAAAATCTTATATTGACAAGTTCAAAGAATATTTTGGGTAAAGTTCTTTCCCCAACTAAAGACAAAAATTCAGTCAATGCAATGCAGAACGCAAATCAGACAACTAAATCCTTACTGGGTCGACATACTCCTCCTCCTCCTATCGATGGCAACGGCGATACATTTGAGGAAATGCAAAAGCTTAACAAGGAATCAACGTCGCCTATGTCGTTAGATGCGAATGCGACAAATGTAAGTTAGGCCTTAGCCAAACCAGCTTAAGTATGTTTTAGCTATATTTTTGCGCATAGAAAGGTATATTATTCCAACTGCTCGAACTTTCGGCATTTAAGAGCCATGTGAATTTGCTGAATATAATTTTATTATTTGTTCGTTTGCCTTACTTTACTTTTATCCATTCATTTAAATTTAATTTTGCATCTGCTTTGACCTCGGCTTTTGCTTCTGTTTTTGGTTTTGTTCGTTTTTATTTTCGTAGCGAATTTTAACGCGCCACAAAGAAATGAGCGAAAAAGCTAAGCTGATGATGGAAAAATTAAAAATTTCTAATTGTGATGAACGCCCTGAAGCGAACGATGTAAGTAGACATAGGCACTTTTTGCATATTGCTAGTTGAGCCTGCATGCACGTGTATTTTTAATTTTGAAGAAAAATAATTCAATGTTAATTAATTTTTAAATTTTCAACAGGAGGATCGACAGCAGCGGTTAAGGGAGCAAGCACGCCGACTTATATTAGAAACACGGAATAAGATAGCAGGGCCTGTAAATAGCGGTGTTGACAGTCCAACAACCCCAACTAAGCTCAAGCGATTCAACTACACTCCTGAACGTACCATTTCACCTATACACAACGGCAGTAGCAACGGAGAGTCTTACGTTGACGTTCCCTCAAATAAAATAGCTTTTATACGGGATAAACCTGATCACTACGTTAACCACACGAGTCCTAGTCATAGATTAAGCGACGGTAACATCACTCCTTTGCAATCCTTTAACGCAGTCGTGGAAAGGATCTCACCAAAGCATGAAAAAAAAGTTAGTAGCGGCTTGATGCGCCTTACAGAATATATATATTTAAAAAAAGCACTATCTCTACTATGATTTGTCCTCATGTCTGATTTAATTTTAAATTGTAAACGCTGTTTCGATCAAACCTTACTTTTATTTAAAAGATAAATCAAATCATTGAACCCTCTCTAGTTATGGTTATTTGTTGTCTACGCCGATTGACAACAATAGCTTTCAGAATAAATCCGCACAAGAATTATGAATTAGGCAATATAAAAAATATTTACAAAGTTATTTTGCAAGAGTATACGCTTATAAATTTCGGCATGCCGAAGATACCTGTGGTTTATGTATTGCATTAAAGTTTCGTTTTCAGAATGATAGGCTTACATATATTGAGTCTGAACTGGAAGCATTGGAACGTGAACAAGAGGCAATCGACCAAAAGGCTAGCAGTCTGGAGGCCAAACTACGTGCAGTTATGGGCGGTAATCCAAGTAATAATAAAACTGGTACAAATCCCTTCCTTAGGTTAATACGCAATAGCATTGGTGGCGGTGATGTCATACGTATTAAGCTGCTTGACTGGGATGATGAAAGTTTATTTGGTAGTGGTGCAAGCGGTGCTGGCAGTGGTACTGATGACGACGACCAAGACGACGAAGAGACATACAGTGACACTTCCATCACCTCGGGCAATAAGGAGAAACAACAGGGTGAAGTTCAGGCTTTCGAAATGAAACCTCTACCAGAAGATCACGCGATAAAGATGCAAACACGGTCACGGCCGCGCGCTCAGTCTTGTTTTGTGACTACGAATCTTAACTATTCACTGATTCGGCCTACATATCAACACCAATTACTTGAAAATTATTGTCATCGTCATCAGCATGGCTCGAACCAAGTTTCTCACCACGTTCATCACGTGGAACCGTACAGTCATTTACCATGTAACTCTGCTTCAGTTGCGTCCTCCCGACAATCCTTCTGTGATAAGTTACAAGCCCTTAGTGCAGAAGATGTCAATGCTAAGGTTGTAGCGCCTACTGGTCAAATGGCCTTCTGTAGGAAACGACGTGATGAACACAAGAGAGCCCAGCAGAAGCACCGACGCCCTCGTACCCGCAGTTTTTGTGGTAATGTCGTGTCTTAAAGGCCAAATAAGTTAACTGCTTTTGCCATGCCCGCAACAGCACGCCAAAGCTAAACGCCTGCCTGCTCGCATATCTGTTTGTGTTTTTGCTTTTAACCGTTCAGTCAACGCGCTGCATTTGTTTAAAAATAGACTTTAAGTCTTTACTTGCCTCGAACTAAATTCCTTACAAATTTTTACTATAACCACAATGAACAAAATATCACTAATCACCATTTAGATCTCTGCGACGACGACAAAATACAGAACCAAAACTACTGACTTTTAATTACCGACTTTGTTAGCCTCTATAATGTTAAATAATTTTAATCTTTTTTCGATAGTTTAGAGTCGGTCTTAAACAGCTTTTGCTTTCCCACAGAAACTGAAGAAACCGAAGAACAATTGCTATCACAGTGGTTTACACTTGTAAACAAGAAAAATGCACTCCTTAGGCGGCAGATGCAGCTTAACATTCTGTAAGAATTAGCGTAACAAGCGTAACAATTACAATCAAATCATCGTTAATTTTTTCAATAGTGAACAAGAAAAGGATCTCGAGCGTAAATTCACAATGCTTAATCAGGAGCTGCGCGCTGCTCAATCTGTTGAGGATTGGCGGAAAACGGAGGTGCAACGTGAAAAGGAGCGCCTGTTGTTAGAAGAGCTTGTGACTATTGTTGATAAGAGAGATCAGCTGGTGCAACATTTACACAATCAAGAAATAGCGTATGTATTGTCACTAGAAACATTAAAAAAACTTTAAATCATTTTTTTACAGTATTGAGGACGACCATGAAATAGCGCGTGAGCTTGAACAAGTAGACATTAGCGGTAACAAAGAAAAGTGTATTCTACAATAAAAAAAAAAAAACACCTGACGTAATTCAACTTGACTGGAGATTAAACCTACACTGATATCTATAATATTGTGGATATACAAAATCATGATTTAACTGTATGTATTAAAAATCGTAATATCAAAATAAAACAAAAATCCAATAGTCTTCTTTAACAGATGTTGCAGACTGGAAACATATGGGTTAAAAATGTAAAAAAAATAATTGACATCAAAACGTCCGATAGCGAATTAAGCAGCTTTAAAATTTGAATAAATTCTTAACCATTTTACTTAAAAGAATGTTGTCATGTACATTTTAAAATTACATTTCATTTACCTAACTATATATGATAATTGCTTTAGTGCCATTTATTTGTTCCACTTGGTAAAAATTTTCAATTTCAAAACAAACCCAACTGTGAGTTTAACTCGTTGCACATTAATTTTATTTTAGCTTAAATACTACGTATTAGAAAGCTTCACCCCTAAGAATATGTATAAACTATTTGTTAAGAAACTGGTTTTATTTAGTTTTTACCTTTATCTTATTTAACTATTTACTGGTGGTTTATTTATATATGTTACAATAGTTGTAATTGGCGTAATGTAAAGCCTTTACTTCAACCAAATGGTCCTTTAAAGAATACAGTTTTTATGTTTTCAAATAAATATACGTTTATTCAAAACCTCACTCGAAATAAAAAAAAATATGTGTATACTACTAGCTGGTATATCCGGTCCTTGCTCGGTCCTTGTTTTTAACATCATCATTAAAATGCAAGATACTTGATTAATACTATACTACTTGATACAATTCTAGAATCTATGTCAAGTTTGGTGATTTTAGCTCTAAAAACCTAAGAGATTTGCTTAAAAGCACGATTTAAATATCAATTTTTATCGATTGCTTGGAAGCGGGGCAAGTGATCGGTTATCCAAAACAAACTAGTACTGGCACTAGGAGAACCTATGTACGCTCAAGTTCAAGTTTCTAGCTCTTACAAGTTCTGAGTTCCTTGCGTTCATACATACGGACAGACGGACGAACGGACAGACAGACAGACATGGCTAGATCGACTCGGCTATTGATGTATACAAAAAACAAAAACAATACATACAATCTTCAATTTTCTTAAGATATTATTAATATTAGATAGACAAATGTTGAACTATTTTTATTATTTTTTATGTGCATGATAAAAAATTAAATGGACGAATGTTAAATATGATAATTGCTGCTAGAGTTGAACTGATGACATTTCACTTGATAGTTGCCGATTAGACACCTAAAGTTTTTCAAACAAGCTTATACCCTTGCAGAGGGTATTATAATTTTGTCGTGAAATGTGTAACGCATAGAAGAAGACATCTCCGACCCCATAAAGTATATATATTCTTAATCAGTATCAACAGCCGAGTTGATATAGCCATGTCCGTCTGTCTGTTTCTATGCGAACTAGTCTCTCAATTTTAAAGCTATCTTTATGAAACTTTGCAGAATTCCCTCTTTCTGTTGCACGCAGTTCATATGTCAAAACCAGCTGGATCGGACCACTATATCATATAGCTGCCATAGGAACGATCGGTCGAAAAGTAGGTTCTTGTATGAAAAACATTTTTGTTTATAAAGTTATCTTGACTTAACTTGGTATTTATTAGTTTTACTACGCTCCCCATATATATGCAAAATCCTATTAAGATCGGACAACTATATCATATAGCTGCCATAGGAACGATCGGTCGAAAATTAAGTTTTTGTATGGAAAATTTATATGTTTTTCAAGATATCTTGACGAAACTCGGTATTTATTAGTTTTACACGCTCCCCATATATATGCAAAATCCTATTAAGATCGGACAACTATATCATATAGCTGCCATAGGAACGATCGGTCGAAAATTAAGTTTTTGTATGGAAAATTTATATGTTTTTCAAGATATCTTGACGAAACTCGGTATTTATTAGTTTTACTACGCTCCCCATATATATGCAAAATCCTATTAAGATCGGACAACTATATCATATAGCTGCCATAGGAACAATCGGTCGAAAATTATGCTGTTGTATGAAATTTATTTTGTTTTTCAAGATATCTTGGCCAAACTGGGCATTTATTAGTTTTACTATGCTCCCTCCACTTATGCAAAATCTTATTCACATCGGGCTACTATATCATATAGCTGCCATAGGAACGATCGGTCGAAAATTAAGTTGTTGTATGGAAACCTGTTTTGTTTTTCAAGATATCTTAACCATACTCGGCATTAACTATTTTCCCTGTGCTTCTTAGATACGGGCAAAGCACTATGAGCATTTTGAAAAGGTTAAATCTTCGGTGTGCCGAAGATAGCACTTCTTTCTCGTTTTTTATGTTCTTTTGAATATTCTTTAATAAACAAGTTTGCTTTTTGATTTAAAAGATATCTTCGTCAACAAAAATAATAAAAGGGGCATAGACGACATCAAGCTTCCATTGAATATTGTACCATTTTCAAAATATTTTTTTCGGCAAACCGTCTTAGAAAATTTTCGATAAACTTCACCCCACAGGATCTCAAAAGGGTTGAGATCTGGGATTTCCACATTGTGTGTGTAACTAATCCCTATGAATGTTGTGGATCCTACCAAAATGTCCACAAATTAAGCATATGGAAACCTTACCGTCCCACTTAAAATCCATGACAAAATTGGCTATTATACGTCTTCACGAGAAACAGCCCCATACCATTATGTTGACACATCCGTTGTTTACTGTCTTTTTTGTGAACTTAACATGAAACTTAGCCTTTCGGACTACAAACGCTTCTTGCGGCATCATTATCGGAAAAAAGTATTTTGCTTTCATCAATCATTATTTATATTATTTTTTATTTCTTTATAAACATTTTGTACAATTAATATTTAAGGATTTAAGTCTATAGTTCCTTAACAGCTGGGATAAAATATAGCTGTTAATTAAAAAAAACACGGAACTCTGTATACCAATCCAATAAAAAGTATGCCATGTTTTAAACTCTAATAAATATGCGGGTAAAAGCCATAGAGCTTGACCGCATAACCAAAGAACAAGAAGTGATGCACATCTGACCAACGACAGACGCTGAAAATTTTTTATGCACACCGGCAGCACAGCCAAATACCAAATAAAGTACTGTGAAGTAACAACTGAATTATAAGTCACGATGACAAAAGCCAAACTAAACGCACAAAATGGTAATGTCTGCTGAAATCGTCCAAAACTTAGGCTTAAGTATAGTATAAGTATTAACTGCGGCACTACCACAAGCAGTTTTACTATTAGATTGGATTCATCAACTCCATCCGCATTGCTCAGGTATTGCAGCAAGAAATGCAGCGAAAAATTGTGTCGCACGTCCTTTCGCACAAGGTGATAAAAATAGGCTTCGTACATATACTTCCATCCATACAGTGCATAAAAAGTCCAAGTAAAAGCTGCTAGTCCTAATAATGTTCCGAGCACAAGGCAAAACTGCTGCTTATTAGGCAAAATCATTTGAAGGAGTCCACGAGGTTTCCGTGAAACGACAGCCGATAAGCTCAAATAGTATGTTAAACTAAAAACTATTGGGTAAAGGCGTAAGTGTATCACGAATCCGTGGACCAGACCGGCACAGAAAGCAATCAAGGATTTGGATATTTGATGATCAATTTTAATCAGTAGATATATGCTTAGTAACACAAAGAAGCTGGTTACACTATCGCCGTTACCACGAGTTGATATTACTGCCGTAAGCGGATTGTAGAGCCAAAAGCAGGCAGAGATGCGGGCTATTTTTTCTGTTCCTTTACATTCTTTGTGCGAGTTCGTGGGTTCTATCTGCATTGATTTACCACATTTAATTTGTAAATATTTGAGTTCCTTTTGATATTGCAGCTGCAACTCAAAACGCACTAAGGCATAAATAAGTATTCCAAGAAGTAAATCAAACACAGCGTAAAATAATTTTCCACATGCAGGATGCCAAATAACATTTGGAATTTGAATATATGCCATAATGGGACTGTAACGATAGGTGTGCCGTGCAAAGGGTGTATCTCCGATTAAAGCTAGCCGAGCGCCGTCCGTTACAACATTGTAGTCTATATCTGTATATGGCACTGCCGATCTGGTGTCGTGTACGTGGGCATAGAAAATAAGCGCAAGACGGAGTATAGCGGCTATTATTATATGTGATTGAAAACTGAGATGCATTATGTACTGGCTTTTATTTTGTAGCCAGGTGATTTTTACGGGTGGCGTCGGGAATTTGCCCTGTGTCTCTGACATATTTGAAATAGAATTTAAAAGCGTATGTTTACAACTTTGTTTTTAGTTCTTTGGCGGTTTTACGCATACAATTCAAAAATTCTTTGAACTCGCTCTCGCAAATTTTTGGCTGAACGTTGATCTCCCGAGATACGCACGCCGCATATAGTGACGCCTTTTCAGCACATTTTGTAAGCAAAATCGGATAGTTACGTAGTCGAGTGTTGGCTTTGCGCACAGATTCCATTCCTTAACGCTTATGAGGTGGTATAGATGAACCCTTCAAGGGTAAAGGATCTGCTATGAATGCGTCGTAAAGCGGCTTTGAGAAGAATATTAGCATTGACGTGGTTATAAATGTAATCTGAAATAATCGCGGATTACGCTTTATCCATGAGCGCTTCGGTAGCACAGCTGTTCGCCTTCTCAAATACGTTTCTTGTTTTTTATCTAACAATTCCTGAATATCTTTGGGCGGCTTGTATGGAGGCGCTGTTGTAGGTGTTGGCATTATTTGTTACTAATAAGCAAGAATTTATTATTATTGAAACTAACGCAACTGTATGTATTTCTGTACCACACCTAATGATTACTTTGGATTGCTTTCTGTTTTCGTCTTTGGTAAATACGATTTTTCCAAATCAATACCACTACAACAGATCGACTGCTTATGCCACTTTACACAGCACAAACGCATTCGCTCGAGCGCCTCACTGCATTTATGTTCCTGAAAGTTGTGTTCTGCAAATACATGCGAATTTGTGTATTAATATTATGCCACATTGCATAATATTCTGGATTTCATTTACATACCCTTTAAGCAAGCTTGTATAGCGCAGGCGAAAGGTTTGCATGGATCCTTACCAGCATTAGACATCAATTTAATTCACTATGATTTGTAAATTAAAGTCGAAATAAATTGCAAATTAATAAAAAGTTAGATGACTTTTCTTTGATGTAAAATTTGACATTCACAGCGGACTGTCACTGTGTTGCCACCCTGTCAAAAATTCGTTGTAAATAAAATAAAACATTCACAGTGCCATGCAACAAGCAACGTTGTCGAAATAAAAATCTTTTAAATATAATAAAAAATAATTGTAAAAACAAGATTTCAACATACATATTCGGGATACTGGTTTACTGTCAATCGACTTATGACAATCATTTCTGGGTGAATGTGTAGAAAACTATTATTCCATGTGAATTGTTGACATTCTCAATAAACCAACTATTTGGAACTATTCTTGTGTAAAAAAACAAGCAAATAAAATAGTAGGATTATAATTTAGTTAAGATTACATTTGGCTGATATCAGATTGTATAAATTTAGAAATGCCCTCTAAAAAGAAAAAGTATAATGCGCGGTTTCCGGCGGTAAGTAAAACGAATAAATAAATAATTGTTACTAGATCTGCATTTCATGCGTAAAAGTTGTGCATGCATCATTATCACAACGATGAAATTTTCAGTTTGTATATGATGCACACGCGTTTTAAGCATTGAAATATTTATTTGGAGGTTTCTTTAATTGACAGGGCCGTATTAAGAAAATTATGCAGAGCGATGAAGAAATTGGTAAGGTTGCACAGGCGGTTCCCGTTATCATTTCACGGACTTTGGAGCTGTTTGTGGAGTCACTTTTAACTAAAACATTGCGCATAACAAATTCGCGAAACGCCAAAACTTTGTCACCATCCCATATGAAACAGTGCATCATGTCCGAACAAAGATTCGATTTTTTAAAAGAGCTTGTGAGGAATATACCAGACATTAGCGTCGCCGAGGAAGCTGCGTTTAATTATAATGACGATGACATACATAGCTCGGAGGAACAATATCCAGACTCGGATACGCCATATGACCTTAGTCTTCCGTCAACATCACTACGAGCGTTGCCCAACGGAAACACTCCCTATGTGCGCTCGATTAGTTTAAACGGAGGCGGACAGAAACGAAATCACAATTCATCCACACCTTCAGTAATAGTGCAAACAGCAGGAGCTTTGGAAAATATGCATCACCAGACAGGACATTTGCCCACGAAGCTAGCACGTTCTGAATCAACGCCTGCATATACTCCGCGTGGCAGGCCACCGAACACCAATGACCATAACAGTAGTCGACAACCACAAGACGCTGCCATACCTGCACCAATATGCAACTACGAATTGCTAAACAAGCCTGTTGTTAAAATTGATTATAGCAACGTTCAAATGACAACATTGGGCCCGACAGACACTGATACCGGCAGCACATCTAATGCAATGTTAAACTTAAATATTGCGCCCCCAGTTATAAATATTGATCTTACAAATATTGTAGCAGCTGGCGAGTTACCCACCTCAGCGAAGATTAGCTATGGAATATTGTCAACAGATAAGATCAGCGCGAGTGGAACCAACAATAACTCAATCGCTAAAATTGGGTCGTCCGTCAACTACATCGCTGGAAAGAGCAAAACTCCAATCATTCCAAAGGTCCCTTCGGCATCAGCACCAATAAGTGAATCGCTTTTCGAATTAGATGAAGACTATGACAACATTTAAGTAGAATAATATGTATATTAGGTTTACGTAAGCAAGTTAATAATTTTGGCGAATAAAGACCATGTTGGATTTTAAACTGTGAATTATTACAGTGTTCTCCTTAAGCCTATAAGTATAACAATGAGGATTTTGGTACCAATTTTGCCGACATTTGAGATGGAAAATAACAGAACCCAGTCGGCTTCTGCAATGTTATTAATCGGTTGCAAAACCTCGCAATGCATTAACAAAATTGTTTTTGCCGCTGTGCTCTAACAGAAAGCATTGCTAATTTATGTCCAAACGCGAAACCAAAGGGATTGTTCAGTATCCGCCGACATCCAACTATATTAGCAAGTTAAGATATTAAACATTCTCTACAACTTAAACGACTAAGGTTTTAGTTATAGAATATATTCACATTAATAAAATTGAAATAAAAAGAAAATAACAGAACCCGGTCGGCTTCTGCAATGTCTTTGAGAATGGATAGGTTGCAAATACCTCGCAATGCATTAAAAAAACTGTGTGGGCAGCTGTGCTCTAACAGGAAGCATTGCTAATTTATGCCCAAAAGCGAAATCAAATGGATTGATCAGTATCCGCCGACAACAAACTATTAGCAAGTTAAGATATTTAACATTCTCTATAACTTGAACGACTAACGTTGTAGTTGTAGGATATATTCACATTAATAAAATTGTAAATACGTTCATTCAATGTATGTATCGAATCGTTATATAAACACATAAATCATGGATCATCTTGTTTACAAACTTAACTTAAAACCAATGTATCATTCCCATATAGAAAAAATTTGGAAACAGCATAGCTATCGTTGAATGAAAAACAATTAAAGCTTAAGTTATAAATACTGCACATTTTATATTTTAAATATAACATTTTATAGGCCTAAGTTGTTGTGTAATTACAATTATATTCAGTAAAAATTAACTATAAACATGTTATATATTGCGAAAATTACATATATATTTTTTAATTTTCTCATAGTTTAAAAATGGTGTAAAAAAATCAAACAATAAAACACACATATTACTGAGGCACTTTTTGGTGTTTATAACAATAAAGAAGAAGAAAATTAAATAAAATGAATATTTCTTTAATATTGCTACTAAAAGTTGCTATTTACAATTAAAAGTAATTATAACAAACCAAAATAATGCGTATCTAAATTATATTAAATGTAGTCATATCTAGGTATATTTGTGTATTTTAGAAATTTTGGCACGCGGAATATGTAATGTGTGTTTTCATCGTGTAAAAAAATAGGTTATTGTATTTTGCATTATTTTCATTTTAATCTATTTCATTAATTTGTAGTTTACTTAAAAGATTGCAGTCTATTGTTTACAAACTTTATATTACTTAATAATAAATGTCGTTCGGCAAATAAGACTTAACGAGATCGAAATACAAATAAGGAAGATTATAGCTATGCTATTTACACATGTCGGTCATTTGGGATCAAGCCCATAACCAAACTAACGTTAAAATTATAAATTATAAGGCTCTTTTCACATAAAATAAATCTAAATATATACAATGCAGTCAGAAAATTTGTAGGAATACATACAATGCAACTATGATACACTGCCTTGTTCGTTTATATTCAAATAATGTTACGTAAATCCGCGACTTGGTGACTGCACTGGCGATGGTGGGGGCGGTAATGGTGAAAAGTACGTAGAGCTGCGTGAGGACGGCGACGGAGGACATGAAGACTCCGGCACAATACGCACATCGCTGTGATAATGCGAGCGTGGCGTTGGTGGCGGCGGATACGGTTCAATGTCATAGCCAAACTGAAGACAGGCGGCAGCCGAGCTAGATGGTAATTTGGTGGGGCCACCATTGCTGTTGTTGCTATTTGATTTGCTAGTATAATTCGAGTCCGACTCGTCGCAAATATCTGTAGAGCATGGTGTAGGAGGAGGCGGTTGGTTGATGATCTTGTAGTGCCTGTAAGGACGACGCGAACGCGTTGCGGGTGAAGGCGGTGGATTAATTGGATAGGCTACCATACTGCTGCCATTGGTTGTTGAACTGGAGGCACCAGTTATGTGATTACGATCGTAAGAGTTCATACTGTTTCGCGAATTGAGTGTCGACATGCGAACCGCATCTGCTACAGAGGCAATTTTCGAGACTCGTTGCGATTTAGTCAGCGTCGAGGGCGACAGGGGGTCTGAGGCTTGGTCATCTTTAGGCTCTGTGCGGCTCTTGCCTATGCGGGTTCGACAAAATTGCAGCAGATAAACAATGGAGAATATGATAATCATCGTGGCGCCAATTAATATCATGAAAATGCGCTTATCAGAAGCTGGTGCCATGCGGCGCTGAAGACAAATGTCCACCGACTCATCCGCTCCATCAGCGCAGTTTTCCCAGCCATCACAAAGCAGTGCAGCTGAGATGCAAAGCTGTAAAAGATTACAACGATTTAAGTATATAAAGAATATATATGTATACCATTTCCATCCAATTTATAAATAAAATAAACGGGATATGGAGATTATATTTAATCGCAAAAATGGTCAATTTACTATAGCATTATTTGACATATTATTGTACCCAAAGCAAGCTGTCGTCAAGCACGGGTATATATTTTGAAAATGGGTAAAAAGGGAATAATGCGTGTTGTGCGAGTATATGTAACACGGAGGAGACATCTCCGACCCCATTTAGTATATATATATTCTTGATCAGCATCAATAGACAGTCGATCTAGCCATGTCCGTCTATTCGTATGTATGAACGCAAGGATCTCGGAACTTGTAAGAGCTAGAGACTTGAAATTTTGAACCTAGATTATTCTAGTGCCCACGCAGTACGAGTACGAGTTTCTTATAGTCGATAACTTGCCCCGTTTTCGTAACGTCTGATGCATTTGGGGTTGATAAAAGAAGGTTCAGGGTATCCCCGCACTCTTGTTGTAACACAATGTTTGTACCGCGTTAAAGGAGTTACCCCTGACCTCATATAAAAACAATATATATATATATATTTTGGATAAGTAAGAAGAGCAAAGTCGAAATGTTTTTTTTCTCTATGCATCTACACAACATACCTTATTGATAGGACACTGAAATTCACCCGGCCTCTTGCAGCAGTCGGCTTCATCATGGCCATTAGCACAGTTTGTAGTGCCGTCGCAAACAAGGGCCTTGTCAATGCACTCTCCAGATTGGCAGCTAAACTGATCCGCACGGCAAGTGGGACAACCAACCTCATCGGATTTATCAGGACAGTCCTTCTGGCCGTCACAGCGCCACGACGCTGGAATGCAGTCCTTGTTCATATCACTATTTCCAGCCACGGGCGCCGCACAGGTGAAGTGATCCGGACCACAAGCGGGCAAAGCGCCGCAGTTTTCCCTGTCCTCAAGCAGCATCAGATATTTAGGGCAAGAGCAAATATCGCGTGAGTGCCCCACTTCATCGCCAGCTGCTATGCAAATGTGTGAGCACTTGGTCTGACTATGCAAGCAGGTGTGATTGCGGAGCAGTTTTCCATCCGGCGTCCACACGGCACGGATGTCTGTTATCTGCGCCAGTCGTTGAAGTTCCGCCGACCGGCGTTCCCCCGTGACTGTGATGCGCTCTACTCCAGTTTTGTCATCCAGCCAATAGACAAAGCCACCAAGCGCCGCAATGTTGATAACCTGTGAGATGTGCATCGACACCAGCGTTTTTCTAAGAATAACAAAAGTGAGTAAATGAATTTTATATTAAGCATCCTACACTGATGTTACAAACGCAAATACCGAGACAAGTTTATACTACTTTATCTGCTCCATTATGCAGCACCATGGTGACAGTTTCATAATAACCCCTTAATTTTTAAAATTTTACTTACATGTTCTTGCCATTGATATCCATTGCATCGATTCTCTTTCCGTGTGCATAATAAAGCATATCCGACTGCTGATCTAAGGCAAGTGTCGTAACACCCTCTAGTTTATAAGCTAGTTCCATGCGCTCATTGCCATCGACACGAGCCCTTATAATAGCTTGATGACTGCCCACATCCGACCAGAAGATCAAACGCTTCATAGCATGGACGACAATGTTGCGCGGCTTTTCTGAATCGCCGGTGTCAATTACACCAATTGATTCCCCTTGGAAACTAAATTTTAAAGGTAAGATTTTAGGATAGCTTGTGTGAGACTGCATTTTTTTCGGTTGTAATATACCTAGTTACGTTGATACTGTTGGAGTAGGAGCACGTCCAGAAAAGTAAACGACCAATAATGTCAATGGCAATGTCAAATGGTTGGCCGGTGTTGACCAGCACAGCTGTCTTGGTCCCGTTTGCTAGAGACCTTTTAATGCTATGACTGCGTCCTTCGATCTGATAAGAAGGAAAATATCAAAAACCTTGAATATTTTTATCGATTAAAGATGTTACGGCTAATTTGGTCTGGTATAAAGGAAATGGACAATTATTGAAGGTTACTCTGCTTACCCAGTATATGTGATGCGTGATGGGATCATAATCAACAGCACGGATATTCTTGCCTGACACTGGCAATGGCACATTTGGACAATCCGTTGTATTCGGAAGCAAGCGGCCAAAGCTATTGCGCTGGCTGAATATGATGTAGTTCCGAGGGGGAATGCAAGAGACGCCATCCTTGGCTAGCTGGTAGTGAGTGGGGCAAGCGCAGATCATCCCACGTCTGCTAGGCTGAGCAAGACACAAATGTGAACAGCCGCCGTTGTTAAGCATGCATGGATTAACTCCAGTTTGTCGCTGCTCGTTAAACACTAGCAACGATGTTATGTATGTCATTCCAGTGTGCACAAGACTACGATTTTGTCCAGTAACTTTGTGCACGCGCTCAATATCCCCGGTATTCCAATCACTCCAATAGAAATAGTCTTGATATAGGGAAACAGCATAAGGTTCATCAATGTCGCTGTTCACTAAGATCTGTCGCCGTTTTCCATCCCAATCGGCGCACTCAATCTTCGCCGGTCGCGATTGCGTTGCCCAGTAGAGACGTCTACTCCCCTGGTCAAAGGTCAAACCAGCGGCATGATTAGCACCCGCGATAATTGTTTGCAGCTCGTTACCATCCATA